AGATAAATAATAATAAATTAAGCACTAGCCAATCAGGATATATAAATATATTGAATATTCTTCATCTATTTTAATCTGACCCATAGAACTAAGTTCGTAATAAGCTTTCCAGTAAAAACTAATGAAGAAATTGACACGAAAAATTAGGGTCTGTCAGTTAAAATTAAATATATAAATAACGCCGTAGGCCATCTATAAAAGCGACAACTGTAAATGATAGAATAACCCTAGAGTCGGTCGAATAAAGAACGAGTCAATTGTAAGTTGAATCGAATGAAGCATAGTTCATTGTCGGACCGCTCGACGCTATTCATTCGTTGCTGCAGGTGATTTTTTCCATTTTCGGCGATAAATTTAGTTAGCCTTGATGAAATATCCTTCTATTCAACTATATTGTATATGTACTTTCTCACGCATTCTCACTTGGATCATTAAAATACTATAAAAAAAATTATCATTTGGTATGATTATGTTGGGCTTTCATTCAAACTTGACCCACTACAGTGATGGGTTAAAGTTTATATGGCTCGAAGCTTCTAAAAGGAATGCTACCGTTCATCTCTAAAAGATTTTCTACGCCTGCAGTCTTGATTTTCTTACTGCTTATTTTCTCTTTTACTTAAGAAAGGGGAATGTAGGTAGAAAGGTGAAAGAGGAACAATGGTTTTGTTCAATTTTTTTTCTTCAATCTAAAATGTAAGAAATAAAATATGAGCTATTAAATTATAATTACTTTTTTATTCAAATACGTTACGCCGACAGCCATTTTTTTCAAGGAGGGAAGATTCCGTTCAAAATTTTTCTTATTATTATTTTTGAATATATTTTTCGAAAAGGGCCACCTCAAATGCACTCTATTAACCTCTTTTTTTGTCGGAACCCTTTTAGGGGGCTTCTTGTTTATATAAAGACACAATAAAGGTATAAAAAACGTCTTCACAATATTCGATTAAGTCGACAACGGACTCATAACAAGATTTTTACGACCGTCCCAAACTTTATCTAGCCAAGATATCGGCCATCGATAGGCCTATAAGTGATCGGTTTGTAGACTCAGTGCAAACTAGCGTTGAAAAGTTCCAAGATATTTCACTCTGATAACTCTTTGTTCGATTAATTAACTCTTATGTGTTCCTCTATTAATCATTACACCGCTTTTCAACTTATTTGACGTGTAATTATCGGTTTATAGAGTAACCTTTGTCATACGGTTCAGGTGACGTCATTGTTAGTTGTTGTTGATTAGAAAGTTGAATATGGAGCATAAGAATAGTAGGTGGAATTTTTTAGTCTCGCTTCCTAAATCCCTTAATGACTCTCAAGGGAAATTTACTTTATACATCCAACTCTTTATTGCTATCAGCTGACGATAAATATATAGAAAAAAAGGCTTCCTATACTTCAACAACTCATAAAGCAATGATTGATTTAAATAGAATAATAAAGAAAAGAAACGTAACAATTCCGTTCAAAAGTCAAAAGTTACTTGTTGAGTAAGATCTAACATCCAAAAAAAACTATCGTATTACACTATAGAAATAAATGAATCGCCATTTCTCGCTTCCTGCGAAGTTAGTATTTCTTTCCGAATTAAAGAAAGCTATTAAATATAGGATATTATGTTTTTGAACGTGTTCCGTGATAAAATAATAGGATAATTAGTCCATAGGAATTTCTTTCAAGTCTTTCTCTGGTATATTTCGCGTCTCATGAGTATATAATAAAAAAGGGATCAATTCATTTAACGACTTTCAATTGAGTCAAACAAAACACCATCTGCCTTTAGTAAACAATTGACGCGAATTGCGTGACTATTTTTAAAGAATATACCGAAAGGAAAATCTGTGCATGCAGAGTGATCAAGAAAAACTTTATTCTAGTCAAACCGATCGAATCTTATGATAACATCATCAAGTCACGAACCTGTATTTTTTTATTAAGTTAATTATTGATATAAATTTTCCTTCTATCTGACTGAGTTAAAAATAATTTACTTTTAACGATTCTATCATTCTCTCTTCTCGTTTTTCACCAAATATACTTTTCTTTTATTCGTCATTTTCCTTGATTTGTCACCGAATTGTGTGATTTGATTACAATCATTAGTCGATCTTCCCCTTATCAAGATGTATCACAATAGTTTGGAGTAAGTATAGAATAGAGTTGTTGAAGCTCTTCAGTAAATACTTTAGTAGAGAAGAAATCAATATTACATCATTCAAAAAAATTTTAGTTTTATTAAAAAGAAATTGTTATTAAAGAAATGTCGTTTAGAACTCTTATTTTATATATTTTTCAATTAATTTACCCTATTCTGGGTACTACTGAAGCGTATAAAGCTAAAATATTTTATTATGAACATTTTCCATAGGCCTATTAAGAATGGACAAGGAAAGATAACGTGCCTAAGCCAAATTTACAAAAGGATCGAGTTACAGTATAGCAAACCCACACGCAGTTTTTTTTTATTGGTAGGGAAAAAATTTCCCAAGTAAAACTTTCGTATTTCTCGCCAGCAGTCAGATTTATTTAGCAATCTATTTGGAAAGTATTAATAATTAACCATAGTTAAAACCCTGATCACGTGATAGACTAGTTTTAGAAATAGAAGCCATTATTAAAGAGGCGTCCATTTATGGAATATAATTTACATTTTTAGGATATAAATTGCATAATAAAAAATCATATAATATATTAATATACTTTATATTCTAATAAAAGAAATTCAAGGTAATTAATACCTATTAAAAGATATTGAATAGCATTATTGAATAGAATTTGAATAAAACTAATAGAAACTATGGAAACTGTCAATTCAACGCTCCATTAGATAAATTATGTATAGAAAAGTTTTTCGTTATATAAAAAGATAAGATAAACGGTTCATTAACTTTTCTAACCGTGGAAATAATTTTTTTGTTGCTCAAAGAACATTTGAAAAGTAATAAATTAGGTGTTTAATGATAGGTTTCTTTAAAAATGAATGAATAATTAACAATTGAAACTACTGTGTTAAATATCCTTATATACAGTATATGTCTATATACTGGCTCGTGACTGTAGATACTATATAGGTAATACAAGAGAAACCTAAATAAAGTATACTTTTGTATATATACTCCGTTGAAGCTATATATTAACACTATTTTCATGTTTATTATTATTCTTAGACGGGAAAAAGATAATATAAAGAACTTTAACTTGAAATTAAAAGTTTTAAAATAAGAAAGATTTTCATGCCCTGTTTAATCGTTCTAATTTAAAACTATAATGGATTTTGTTTACGTTGGCGGGTGATGAAAGGAACATTCGTTATTTTCACTTTAATTCAATTTATTTACTCCATGATCCCAATGAGATGTCAATTTTTCTCCTTTACAAATATAAAACCCTTTTGAGATTTGGTAGAAATAAATTCAGCCTATTGGCATTAGTTAGCTACTTTTATAATGTAAGGATCGTTTTATTTGTTAAGTTGAGTTGTAAGTTTGGTATACAGTATCTCGTGTATTTTTCGATTTCTTTCCTTCTACTAGCATAATACTGATTTTGAAACTTTTCCTTTCTAGTATAGAATCATCCATTTTCCGAAATCAATTCTATACTTAATACAAAATGGCATTCGACATTTATCGTTAACATGTGTTTCGTAATCTTAAACCATTTTTCACCTATTCAACCATCCCTCGCCCAGGGGTATCTAATTGTAATCTTTTAACTCCTTCAACTGTAGTTTGTCAGATTCGTTAACTCGTAAAAAGTTTGTTTATCAGAATTCTTGAGTAAAAAAGCCAAACCATCAATTTACTGTTTCCCTAAAGCTGGTCACGTTTCCTTAACGAGGTGTACTAGTCCACGGCGTTACTTCAAGAGTATACTTTTGATTTATTTGATTTTGAGAATACTACTGATGGACTGTCGTTTTTCCCCCTTTCGGAATTTGGTACCAGTCAGTTCTCAATCCGTTCCGTGAATTTTATAGCAAAATGGACTAGAGGTGACACCTATCGCATACTGAGAGACATTTGTAATTATAAACGAATACTTTTTCCACGTTAATAAATTATATATGTTTTATAATGTATATACATACCTATGCATATCAATATACATTATAGACTGTATACGGTTTATAACTAATTAAAATATGCTGAAATCTATTAAAATTAACGGCAACTCTAGTTTGTTAGAATAAATTAAACTAGAAAAAAACTAATAATAGAATATTACGTAATTTTTTAACGTATATTTAAATGAATTCTTAAAAGTGGCTTACATTTTTACATATCTCAAAATAGACATAGTAGAATTTATAATACACAGTATTCGAATATTTGTTGTACATACTTATCCACCTTGAATATATTAAAAAAGTTTAAATAGAAACCTTTCCGGTTAGTCGGTTATTCTAATAAATTTCTTAATTATTAATCATAAAATTAGTTAAATATATTCTAATATATATAAGATAACTGATGAATTATGAAAGATGTTTCTTTTTATTTTATATTTAAAAATTTTGAATGAATAAATGAATAAATGAATAAATTAATTTAATAAATTTAAATCATTGAATGATAATTACACAATATTAGTGTATTACAAACTTTTCTAATGGAAATGTCTTCAAGTTACAAATCTCTACGCATTTCTCTATGTAAAGTAACTTTCTTGTAGTTCCAATTATAGTAAATATTGCGTAAAAATTATATTCAATGAGTCAGTAAACTGTTATAAGTTTCATCTATATTTAGATATTTTATATCGGCCTATATAAACGATCTCTTTAATTTTATTCATATGTAAATCCTTACATATATATTGACCACGTTCCAACGAGAATATAATTCTTCTTTAAATTTAACTATTACAGAACCTCAAAAAATGCGATATTTTCAAGAGCAACTGCTAATCTAGCATATATCGATAACGCCTTTAGGTTGTCACCCCCGCGTCGGTACGCCCTTCTCTTTAAATAAGGCATTAAATCTTTCTTTGAGCATTTCGACTTTGTCGAAGCAATGGATAGACATTGGCTAATTTTCGTGTTTTTCTTGGCTAGTTTTGCTTTACAACTAATAGACAGTGCACCAAAAAGAAAAGATGTTTTGTCAGCAGATATAGAACCTAAGAGAGAAATAAAGAAGCTTGAATTAATTAATAAAGATAAAATTAATGAAGGAATAATTAAAAACAATCAAACTGTTAAGTCAAGGAAACTTTTCGAGCGGAAGAAAAAGCATAGGTCTAAAAGAGCATTAAGTATGAATTGTTTCTAATAATTTTTAAGTAATATTTAAATAATATTCAAAATGAATAGGTTGCTCAAAAGCCGATGTTCTATTCATTCTCGATTCAAGCGGTAGTATCGGAAAAGAAAATTTTACAATAGTTTTAAACTTTGTAAATTCTATTGTAAATAACTTTGTCATTGGACCTAACAATGTTCAAGTAAGTTGATTAATTTTATTGAAATTTCTTTGATTGTAAGAAACATTTCGCAACTTTTTCAAGGTTGCACTAATTAATTATGGAAACAGAGCAAAAACAGAATTTCAATTAAATTCTATAAGTAATAAAGCAGATCTCCAAACTGCTATTTCTGGTATCAATTGGAAAGACCAGGTAAATAGTTTACTACTTACTACTTGAAATACACTAACTAGAAATATTAAAAATCTTTTTAGAATACGAATACATCTGGAGCTTTGTGGACCGCTTATGATTACGTTTACAATGTCAATAACGGAGATAGGTTGGATGCTACAAATATTGTTATGGTGATATCTGACGGAGATAGTACGAAAGATACACATTTACTAAGTCATCACTCAGCTGGTTTACAAAGTGTTGCAGAAGTATACGCTATTGGTAATTATTATCAGAGATCAGTTTATTTACTTCTTATATTTGCTTAACGCTTTAATTATCTAAACAATAGGTGTTACTCAAGAAATTGGCGATACTGAGCTTCAAACAATTGCTTCAACGGATAACGCTAATCCAGAAAAATATGTGAAGAAAGTTTCACTCTTTGAACAACTAGCTACTATGTTAAATGTTATGGATGGATCCTACTGCAACAGTACAGTTTATAAAATATTCGTTTAGCAATTTAATGCTAGAATATTCTTTCATACAGAATTGAGTACATGTTCAGGAGTGTGTTTAAACGGTGGTAGTTGTGCAATATCTGGATCTAATTACATATGCACATGCCCAACCAATAGATTTGGGAGAAGATGCCAATCAAGTAATTATAAATTTTCAAAATACGCTGGCTCTATGTGTTCAGATTATTTGTATATACTATATATATTTATATATAAATGTTTTCAGATTCCCCTAGTAATGCATGTGGAGGAACTATTTGTGCTAATGGTGGAATATGCTCTACTGTAGGAAGTAATGATTTCCAATGCATTTGTCCAACTGGTTATACAGGTATTTTATGCGAGATAACTGTCGCCAATAACCCATGCAGTAGTAATCCCTGCGTAAATGGAGTATGTGTGTCACAATACAGTAATACACGATATCAATGTTACTGTCGGTCTGGTTCTGCCGGAACAAATTGCAATATAGGACTTAATCCTTGTTCTAGCTCTCCTTGTCTTAATAACGGAGCCTGTTCAGTTGTGAACAATGCCTTTGTATGCTCTTGTGTTAACGGATATAGTGGTACAACTTGCAATGTTTCACCCTCAAATGCTTGTTCAAGTTCACCATGTTTAAATAATGGCATCTGTTCCCTCACCTCCGGCGGGTATGCTTGTGCCTGTCAAACAGGCTTCACAGGAACGCGATGTGAAGGTCAAACTACAACGACCTGTAATCCGAGTCCTTGTTTAAATGGCGGAGTCTGTCAATTGATTGATTCAACTGTTAAGTGCTTTTGTCCAACTCCATATACCGACAGCGTTTGTGGAACAAGTAAGATATAGCCTTAAAAAAAAAACTTTCTTTTAAAAATCTATTTTTCAGATTCCAACAATCCATGCGAAAGTGCTCCTTGTCAAAATGAAGGCGTTTGTACCAATAGTGGAACTACTTTTGTATGTACATGTAAGACTGGTTTCACAGGAGCAAGATGTCAAACAGGAAATATTCCTTGTTCATCTAATCCTTGTTTAAATAATGGTGTTTGCCAAAATTCTGGAACTACTGCATATCAATGTTTCTGTGCCAATGGCTTTTCTGGAACTAGATGTGAAGTAGACAATAACAATCCATGTGCCAGTAATCCTTGTCAAAATGAAGGAGTTTGTTCCAACAGTGGAACTACTTACGTTTGCACCTGTAAAACTGGTTTCACTGGAACAAGATGTGAAACAGCAAATACTCCTTGTTCATCAAATCCTTGTCTAAATAATGGTGTTTGTCAAAATTCTGGAACTACTGCATATCAATGTTTCTGTGCCAATGGCTTTTCTGGAAGTAGATGTGAAATAGATAATAACAATCCATGTGCCAGTAACCCTTGTCAAAATGAAGGCGTTTGTTCCAATAGTGGAACCACTTTCGTTTGCACCTGTAAAACGGGTTACAGTGGAACAAGATGTGAAACTGTAAGCACTCCTTGTTCATCTAATCCATGCTTGAATGGCGGAGTTTGTATTGCTTCAGGCACTGTATCATATCAGTGCTTCTGTCCTAATGGCTTTTCCGGAAGTAGATGTGAAATAGACAATAACAATCCATGTGCCAGTAATCCTTGTCAAAATGAAGGAGTTTGTTCCAATAGTGGAACAACTTACGTTTGCACCTGTAAAACTGGTTTCACTGGAACAAGATGTGAAATAGCAAATACCCCTTGTTCATCTAATCCTTGTTTAAATAATGGTGTTTGTCAAAATTCTGGAACCACTGCATATCAATGTTTCTGTGCCAATGGCTTTTCTGGAAATAGATGTGAAATAGATAATAACAATCCATGTGCCAGTAACCCTTGTCAAAATGAAGGCGTTTGTTCCAACAGTGGAACCACTTTCGTTTGCACCTGTAAAACGGGTTACAGTGGAACAAGATGTGAAACTGTAAGCACTCCTTGTTCATCAAATCCTTGTTTAAATAATGGCGTGTGTCAACTTTCCGGAACTACTGCATATCAATGTTTCTGTGCCAATGGCTTTTCTGGAAGTAGATGTGAAATAGACAACAACAATCCATGTGCCAGTAATCCTTGTCAAAATGAAGGCGTTTGTGCCAATAGTGGAACAACTTACGTTTGCACCTGTAAAACTGGTTTCACTGGAACAAGATGTGAAACTGTAAGCACTCCTTGTTCATCTAATCCATGCTTGAATGGCGGAGTTTGTATTGCTTCAGGCACTGTATCATATCAGTGCTTCTGTCCTAATGGCTTTTCCGGAAGTAGATGTGAAGTAGACGATAACAATCCATGTGCCAGTAATCCTTGTCAAAATGAAGGCGTTTGTGCCAACAGTGGAACCACTTTCGTTTGCACCTGTAAAACAGGTTACAGTGGAACTAGATGTGAAACTGTAAGCACTCCTTGCTCATCTAATCCTTGTTTAAATAATGGCGTGTGTCAACTTTCCGGAACTACTGCATATCAATGTTTCTGTGCCAATGGCTTTTCTGGAAGTAGATGTGAAATAGACAACAACAATCCATGTGCCAGTAATCCTTGTCAAAATGAAGGCGTTTGTTCCAACAGTGGAACCACTTTCGTTTGCATCTGTAAAACGGGTTACAGTGGAACAAGATGTGAAACTGTAAGCACTCCTTGTTCATCTAATCCTTGTTTAAATAATGGCGTGTGTCAACTTTCCGGAACTACTGCATATCAATGTTTCTGTGCCAATGGCTTTTCTGGAAGTAGATGTGAAATAGACAACAACAATCCATGTGCCAGTAATCCTTGTCAAAATGAAGGCGTTTGTTCTAACAGTGGCACAGCCTTCGTTTGCACCTGCAAAACTGGTTATAGTGGAACTAAATGCGAAAAGGAAAGTACTCTCTGCTCGTCAAATCCTTGTAAGAACAACGGTGTTTGTATAGAATCCACAAGCACTTTCACGTGTTTCTGTCCATCTGGTTTTAGTGGCACATTTTGTGAAATCAGTAAGTACTTTATAATTTTTTTAATTGATATCATCATGTGTTATTTTATAGGTGCTACTTCTTGTGTTAGTAACCCTTGTCTCAATGGTGGCGCCTGTATTGATTCTGTAAATGGATATAGTTGTCAATGCGTTGGAAGATTCAAGGGAACACGTTGTGATGTTGATCAAGGTCCTTGCTTTAGTAATCCCTGTTTGAATGATGGCGTTTGTCAAAATGTTGATTTTGGTGAATCCTATAAATGTTTATGCAAAACAGACTTTTCTGGTACAAACTGCGAAATAGGTAGTTATTTTGCGTATATATATCTGAAATGACCTATGAGATATCTTTTTCCAGTTCCTGCATGTAATAGTAACCCTTGTAAAAATGGAGCAGTTTGTAAAAATTCTGCTGGTGGCTTTCTTTGTTACTGTCAGACACCCTACTACGGAATACTCTGTGATAAAGGTATAAACTTTTATACCTATATTCTTTTTTAAATGTTCAGTGTTTTGTATACTTTTGAATTTTGTAGAACCTATTCCTGACCCCTGTAACAGTAATCCTTGTTTAAATGGTGGAGTTTGCTCAAATGAAGGAGCAAATTATAATTGCGCTTGTAAGTCTGGCTATGCGGGAATTCAGTGTCAACTGACGGTTGGAAGTAAGTAAAATATTTAAATTATAGGAGAAACCTAATCTTCAAATATTTCAGCTTGCAGTAAAGTTGACTTGTCATTTGTCCTGGATTCATCTGGTTCAATTAAATCTGAAAATTGGCCTAAGATACTGACATTCGTTAATTCTATAGTTGATGAATTAGATGTAAGTCCATCAGCAGCAAAGGTTTCCTTGATTGTTTACAGCTCTGCAGCTCGAGTTGAGTTTAATCTTGATAAATATGATACGAAAGCAAAAATAAAAACTGCCATATCTGCCGTTGGTTGGGCAACAGGATCAACTTATACAGATCTTGGTCTAAAACTATTAGGAACTCATATATACACTCCTACAAGTGGTGATAGGAATGATGCCCGAAATATTGCAATTGTTATAACTGATGGTCAGTCAACTGACGAACAGGCAACAAAAACAGAAGCAGCTACAGTTAGAGCTAAAAATGTTGAATTATATTCTATTGGTATTGCTGGATTTGACGTGGATGAATTAATATCCATCTCTGGTGTAGGGAACCGCGTCTTTACGGTTGGGACTTTTGATGAATTACCTAACTTAAAGGAAAAGGTACTTGGCGTAGCTTGTGGTACAGCAGCTCGTGAGTTTTAGACTTTCTAGAATATATAAGAATAAGTAACAAACAAATAATTATTAAACAGCAAACAATCCTTGCTCGTCTGATCCTTGTCAAAATAGCGCAGTCTGTATTCAAACTGCTAACGGTTACAGCTGTAATTGCCAAACAGGATATTCCGGTCAAAATTGCGAAATTGGTATGTAAAATATAAAAAATGTATAAAAAGATTCATTGTTTCATGATATGTTCCTAATTCAAAAAGACGATGGCGCCTGTTCGTCTAATCCTTGTCAAAATGGCGGTGTTTGTCAGAAAAGTGGATCAACTTATCAATGTTTCTGTGTCGAACCATGGGATGGTCAACATTGCGAAAACAGTAAATACAAATATAAAAATGGTATTATTTTCAAAGTCAATATTTAATTACAGATAAAAATGACCCATGCATAGTCAATCCTTGTTTAAATGGAGGAGTCTGTGTTAAAAACGGACAAACGTTTACATGCTTTTGTCCCTCACCTTGGACTGGAAATACATGTCAAAATAGTAGGCAACTATGAATAAACACAAAGGCTATACCTAATTATCTTTGAAATTTTAGATCAAATTCCTTGCAGCAGTAATCCCTGTAAAAACGATGGAAATTGTAAAGAAATTACAAATGGCTACGAATGTACTTGCAAAACAGGATTTACAGGACCAACTTGTGAAACTGTTGTCACTCCTTGTGATCCTAACCCTTGCCAGAATCAAGGAGCTTGCCAGATAAATGGGAATTCGTTCAATTGCCTCTGTCCAAATCCTTGGACAGGAACTACTTGCACTATTAGTAAGGCTAAATATAATGAAATCATTCAATTCAAAAAATCTAAAAAATAATTTTCTAGACGTAAATCCATGCAGTAGTACTCCATGTCAAAACGGAGGAGTATGCACAAACACAGCAACAGGTTATTCATGCGCTTGTACAACCGGATTTACTGGACCAAATTGTGCAACTGCTGTAACACCATGCTCTCCAAATCCGTGCCAAAATGGAGGAGTGTGTCAAGCAAACGGAAATGCCTTCACTTGCTTTTGCGCTTCACCATGGACTGGAACAACTTGCACAACAAGTTAGTCTCATATATACACTATAATTCAATCAAAGATGGTTCTATTTCCTTTGCAGATCAAAATCCTTGTAGTAGTAATCCATGTCAAAATGGTGGAGCATGTACCAACAGTGCAACAGGCTATACTTGTGCCTGTACAACAGGATTTACTGGAACTAATTGCGATACTGCAGTAACACCATGCTCTTCAAATCCATGTCAGAATGGCGGAATTTGTCAAGTAAATGGAAACTCTTTTACTTGTTTATGTTCATCACCATGGACTGGAACAACTTGCACAACAAGTTAGTCTCATATATACACTATAATTCAGTCAAAGATGGTTCTTTTTCTGTTGCAGATCAAAATCCTTGTAGTAGTAATCCATGCCAAAATGGTGGAGCATGTACCAACAGTGCAACAGGCTATACTTGTGCCTGTACAACCGGTTTTACTGGAATTAATTGCGATACTGCAGTAACACCATGCTCTCCAAATCCGTGCCAAAATGGAGGAGTGTGTCAAGCAAACGGAAATGCTTTCACTTGCTTTTGCGCTTCACCATGGACTGGAACAACTTGCACAACAAGTTAGTCTCATATATACACTATAATTCAATCAAAGATGGTTCTATTTCCTTTGCAGATCAAAATCCTTGTAGTAGTAATCCATGTCAAAACGGAGGAGTTTGTAGTAACACCGCAACAGGTTATACTTGTGCCTGTACAACAGGATTTACTGGAACTAATTGCGATACTGCAGTAACACCATGCTCTCCAAATCCGTGCCAAAATGGAGGAGTGTGTCAAGCAAACGGAAATGCTTTCACTTGCTTTTGCGCTTCACCATGGACTGGAACAACTTGCACAACAAGTCAGTAATATATACAATTTGCAATTCAGTCAAAACTGGTTCAATTCTTTTTTGCAGATCAAAATCCTTGTAGTAGTAATCCATGTCAAAACGGAGGAGTTTGTAGTAACACCGCAACAGGTTATACTTGTGCCTGTACAACAGGATTTACTGGAACTAATTGCGATACTGCAGTAACACCATGCTCTTCAAATCCATGTCAGAATGGCGGAATTTGTCAAGTAAATGGAAACTCTTTTACTTGTTTATGTTCATCACCATGGACTGGAACAACTTGCACAACAAGTTAGTCTCATATATACACTATAATTCAGTCAAAGATGGTTCTTTTTCTGTTGCAGATCAAAATCCTTGTAGTAGTAATCCATGCCAAAATGGTGGAGCATGTACCAACAGTGCAACAGGCTATACTTGTGCCTGTACAACCGGTTTTACTGGAATTAATTGCGATACTGCAGTAACACCATGCTCTCCAAATCCGTGCCAAAATGGAGGAGTGTGTCAAGCAAACGGAAATGCTTTCACTTGCTTTTGCGCTTCACCATGGACTGGAACAACTTGCACAACAAGTTAGTCTCATATATACACTATAATTCAATCAAAGATGGTTCTATTTCTGTTGCAGATCAAAATCCTTGTAGTAGTAATCCATGTCAAAACGGAGGAGTTTGTAGTAACACCGCAACAGGTTATACTTGTGCCTGTACAACAGGATTTACTGGAACTAATTGCGATACTGCAGCAACACCATGCTCTTCAAATCCTTGCCAAAATGGAGGCGTATGCCAAGCTAACGGAAACGCCTACATATGTTTTTGCGCTTCACCATGGTCTGGAACAAATTGTGGAACAAGTAAGTCTTTTATTGTTACATCCGATTTTTTGTTATAATTGGCCATTTTTTTAGATACAAATCCATGTAGCAGTAATCCATGTCAAAACGGAGGAGTTTGTAGCAACACAGCAACAGGTTATACTTGTGCCTGTACAACAGGATTTACTGGAACTAATTGCGATACTGCAGTAACACCATGCTCTTCAAATCCATGTCAGAATGGCGGAATATGTCAAGTAAATGGAAACTCTTTCACTTGCTTGTGTTCATCACCTTGGACTGGAACAACTTGCACAACAAGTCTGTTTATTTTTTTAATTTGATTTTCTTTTTAACTTTTTAATAATTTTAACAGATACAAATGCCTGTAGTAGTAACCCATGTCAAAACGGAGGAGTATGTTCCAACACAGCAACAGGTTATTCCTGTGCATGTACAGGGGGTTTTACTGGAACGAATTGTGATACAGCTGCAACGCCATGCTCTTCAAATCCTTGCCAAAATGGAGGCGTATGTCAAGCTAACGGAAATGCTTTCACATGTTTTTGCGCTTCACCATGGACTGGAACAACCTGCACAACAAGTAAGTCTTTTATTGTTACATCCTTTTTTTGTGATAATTGAGTATATTTTATAACAAATTTAACAGACACAAATCCATGTAGCAGTAATCCATGTCAAAACGGAGGAGTATGTAGCAACACCGCAACAGGTTATACCTGCGCCTGTACAACTGGATTTACTGGTACTAATTGTGATACTGCTGTATCACCATGTACTCCAAATCCATGTCAGAATGGCGGAATTTGTCAAGTAAATGGAAACTCTTTTACTTGTTTATGTTCATCACCTTGGACTGGAACAACTTGCACAACAAGTCTGTTTATTTTTTATAATTTTGTTTTCTTTTTGACTTTTTAGTAATTGTATCAGATACCAATGCCTGTAGTAGTAACCCATGTCAAAACGGTGGAGCATGTACCAACACTGCAGCGGGTTATACTTGTGCCTGTACAACAGGATTTACAGGAACTAATTGCGATACCGCAGTTACACCATGCTCTCCAAATCCGTGTCAAAATGGAGGAGTGTGTCAAGCAAACGGAAATGCTTTCATTTGCTTTTGCGCTTCACCCTGGACCGGAACAACATGCACAACAAGTTAGTAACACATATATTTACAATTCACTTTAAGTTGTTTGAATTATTTGTGTCTCAGATACCAACCCATGTAGTAGTAACCCATGTCAAAACGGAGGAGTTTGTAGTAACACAGCAACCGGGTTTTCTTGTGCTTGTACGGCGGGTTTCACAGGAACTACTTGCGGGACCGCCACTACTGGTCCTTGTAACCCTAATCCATGTCAAAATGGTGGAGCTTGTGCTATTAATAATAGTGCATTTGTGTGTACCTGCGTCATCCCTTGGTCTGGAAATACTTGTACTAACAGTAAGCTACTGTTGTGATTTTCTTTGTTACATTTATAAGGTAGCTTTTTTTTACAGATAATCCCTGCTTAAGCAATCCATGTCAAAATGGAGGTGTATGCTCTCAAAATGGAAATGCTTTTTCATGTGCATGTGCATCTGGATTCACTGGAACAACTTGCGGTACGCCTACTTCAATTTGCGATAGCAATCCTTGCCAGAATGGCGGAGTGTGCCATTTCCAAGCTTCCAGTCCGTTTTATACGTGTGCCTGTCCGTCTACTTTTGTGGGAACATCCTGTCAGACGGCTGGTAAGTGATAGAAATCTGTTCTTAAAAACATATGTCATAATAATTTCTTTCAGCTACATCTTCCTGCGTTCAATGTTCAACTACTGATCCAAATTGGACTGACCTATGCGGACCAGGGGCTGTAGATGTTGATGTTGTTCAAGAACTTAATGGAGTCGTAACTTGTCAGCAAGGATGTTTTGTACAGATTGAAAATAACAGTAAAATATATTAAAACAAAGTCAATACTTATTTGATAATTATCATAATTTCAGTTGTAAGTAGAGGATGTGTGGAAGACTTTACTGGATTAAAACCAAAAACCGTACCAGAAAATGGTATAGTCTGCTTACCCGAACCTACAAACAAGGACACGTGTTTCTGTCATGGAACAAATTGTAATTACAAGCAGGCTACTGATTTCAGACCATCAAAACTCTCAACAGGTTTGTTTTAAAATTTTTCCCAAAGTAGGGTGATATCTAATTTTTTTTTCAATAAAAAATAAATAGGAATATCGTCTTGCAATTGTCAAACCTGTCCATCTGGAGCATCTAATCCATTCTTATGTAACTTTGATGGAGATTATGCTTTATGCAATTGCGATCAATGTCAATGTACTAAAATTTAAATAGATCGGAAAGAGAAAGAAAAGTAAAAATATGCAATGGTATGAGAAAAATTTTAAAATAAAAGAAAAAAAATGATATATCTATTTAAATTGAAAATGCAGGGAATAATAATTTTTTTTTTAAATTCAATGCACATTTTTTTTATTTATTTGTCAATTATATAACTTAAGTAAGGGCAAACTATCCTTTTGGCCTATATAATTCCAAATGAAAAAGAACTTAAAGAAGGAAATATTTCAATTCAAATACGAATATTTTTCAACCTTTCCGAGATATTGATTTTATATGACGGTTAAAAAACCTGATAATATATAATTTTACTTAAATCTATATTCAGTGTATATGTTAGAGTAAAAGTCTATATACTGTATTTATACGCAGTATATGAAAAACATAATAAAGTTTGAATATGTTTTGAATTGACGGGAAATAAAAAAAATTTGAATGAATTTAATTTTACTATTCGGACAAAGAGTTTCTATTTTGTGATAATTTTTCTATTTGTTTATTAAATTAGTAAATATAGTATTTATCATAATTTATATCGTCCTTTTATCAGTATGCATAAGCAAAAATCCTACTGCAATTGTATTAGAAATTTTTAATATTACTTATATAGTATATATATATATTGGTATATAAAGTGTATTTTGTACTGTATATACCTAATATATAATTTTATCTTTATGTAATTATAGTGTTCAACAAATTATGAATTTTATTTAATACAATTTTCGTAAATTTCGAAAATTAATGAAATTTTTAAATCTTTCTATTTACATTATATACTTTGAACGACTTCAGTCGACTTTCTATTGAATTTTAGAGTAGAGTAATCTAATTTATTATAATAGGAACTGTTAATATAATATTTTTCAAAAGAATATCGGGAAATATGACACTCTATTTTATCTTTATTGTAAATTTCCCTCAAAGTATCTTATCTTTAAGAAAGTCACAGTTTTTTTGACAGGTGTTATCAAAATATATCGAAAATATATACCATATATGTTTATAAATGGCTTTGCACTCTATACTCACCCTCAGTAATTTTCACACTCTGCAAAAATCAAATTTTCGTCCACTATTTATAGGAGATATCATACAGTTTTTTGTAGTTTTACTATATGTTATAAAAAATCCGATTGACAGTTTAATATCAACAAATATTTCATTTGTTTTTCCAATTATTTATATTAATTAACTAAAAAAGAGTCACATAAAAAATTGTTTTTTTCATAATAAACTGGTAGTACACAAAATCTAAATTTCATTTTTTTTATATATCTTTCCTATCATTAAAAAAAGTGAATGGAAATTTTTTAACAAAAAAAAAGGAACATAAATTGCACATGAATTTATTATTCATAATGTAAAATGAGACAGTTGTTTGTTAACAGAATAGTTTCTTATGTAAAAAGACATTCGTAACGATGTTGTTCTTTCCGGTAGATTCCTTTGGTTTTATATTTACATACAGTATTTTTTTTGCCTATATTTTATGAGAAGAGAGATAATAGCCTTATATTTTTCTATACTGTACATTGCACGACTGTACATCGTCCGTTTGACATTGTTTGCAAAAATGGCTCATCTTCCCTGATCCCTTTCAATTCAAACTCTTCATTTCGTTTGAAAGTTCTCTGATACACAGATGGTTTAGGTGGAGGCGGAGGAAGGGTTGTACTACCCATAGGTAGATATGTAGAAACATCTATACCTGATTTATTAGCGCTAGTTACTACATAAGTGTCTTTTATCTCTGCTCTATTCTTTGAACTTTTCTTTCTTGAGCAGGAGCAGACGATTATGAGAATGATAATAAGCACAATGAAGCAAAAACTTGCTAATAATGAATAGAGCACCAAGCCACTGAGGCTACTTTTTGTTGCGTTAGGTGTTGGCGGACACGAATCTGTAAAATACAATAGATGGCGTTAGTGTAAACTGTATACATGCTTATATATAGACACAGCTAATATGGAACAATTGAATGAAGGAGGAATAATTAACAAAAAGTCATAAATCAGTGAAATAAAATTTCCGGTCAGTTTTCTATTTGCCGAATTTTCAAAACTGCTAACAGATACTTGAGAATATTTAGCAAAATGCTAAAAAATGTCAAACTCTTCTTTCGATAGCCTTACAAATCAATGATTGCTATAAATTTGAACTGCAATCTAATAAAATAAGCTTATTTTGGCCTTTACCGCCCTGGCTGCTGATTTCCCTGTAGATACGAATGATTTAGGAGATCAAACGTTTTAATATGTTAAAATAAAAATTCCAGCAGATGGCTCTAGTATATATATATATACTAATATATATATATATATTAATACAATTTCTTTTCGAATGCTTTTTGTAGGTGACGCCTCTTAAAGAAATGTTATTACAAGGTCGACAAACCGATCGTTCTGTAAGATGAAAAAATCTATAAACGGCAGATAAAAGTACTCACATTTATTGAAGGCTAATTCGAGTGCATCTGTAAGGGAAAGAAACGCTATTAGCTTAGCATATAGGGAAAAATTAGTGGAATCCTCTGGAAAATTGAAGTATAAATAAAAAATAAGGGAAAAAAAACCAATTTGTTATACCTAGCGATTTATTGGCTGAACATCGGCATCGGTTATCTTCCAAGTTACAGAATGAGTAATTAAAGTGTGAGCATTGTCTATCGTTCGTACATCCAGAATCCAGTAAGCAATGAGTTCCGTTACCTGTTACATTAAAAAAAATATATAAAAGCTTTATAAATAAACTTTTCAAAGTTACCACTATACTTTTGAAATCATTTAAAGGCCTTCTTACTTCAATTAAATTAATAAAATGTGATTCTATATACAGTTTTTTTGAACGTATAAATTCACTTTTTACTTTTGGAGAAAAGAAATATCAATATTTAGCTTTAGAGTTTTTTCGACATGCATAAAAGTAGGTCATAAAAAGTGAGGTTTTACTCAGATTCAATTGCATTCTATGACATAAAGAGGGGTAAAATAGATTAGCAAAGATATTTTTCACTTGGTCTCTCTTCAAAGAGCATCTTACGTCATTTTTTTTGTATATTATATATATTCTATTTCGATTGCGCGTTAACAAGGTTAGATTTTATCGATTTGTATATTTATCATTTCCTGATGGAATAAGATGAGGCAAAGATGGCAAACAAACAAATGGTTTTCCAATATTCTGTCTATTTTTTGATAAAAAAAGAATTAATAAAATTTGATCAGTTTCCAATAAGCTTAGTCCGTTGTTTGTCACTTTTACAATCGTATAAAACTGTCCTATCTTTCATTATTGCTTCAACTATTTCACTTTTGCCACGCATACATACACTCTTTCTCTCTCTCTCTCTCTCTCTCTCTTATCCTCTCTCTCACCGTCTCTCATACCCTCTTTACAGCAATTGAGTATTTATATAGAGAACATATTTTAGTAATCTACTTTATTCTAGTCCTTAATCAAGGGGTAGATCATAGGAAATATATTATACTTTAACAACCATAAATATAAAGTATACCGCTTCTAAGATTATATTAGTGGCTTTTCATCAGATACAAGGCCAACACAATCCCAAAAACCTGATATCCCTCTATTCGTCATTTTCTTTCTTTTCTATGGCAAAAATGACTTTCATTCAGTCATTTTATTCCTGGTTGAAAGAATGCCAAATATTAATCTCCAAGTGATAAGTACTATATTTCTTTTGTATCACCCTATTCACTAGTTATCACGTGACACTTAATAATCTTTCTCATCTAAAAATTGACTAGAAAGGGAGGAAAAAGAGGAATTTTCCAGTTCTAATTTTTGAATTCAGTCCCAAAAGGTTAAAAATTTATTAATTATACAACTGAACTTATTCAGTTATTTCAGTTTGAAGATTAATCACAATGATAAAATATTCATTTCGAAAGTTGGTTGATTATTAAAAATTGACTATATGAGATAATTTAAATGGAATTTAATTTGCGAATGATGGATTATATCTAGGAAAAAAAATATTTAATAAAGTATCATTAATACGGGTATTATATATTCCTAAACTCTTTGAATTATTAAAATTTGCTAACATTTTAAATCTCCTTTCAAGTATATAAATATTATATATATAAAAATGTTCATTTATGCCATTTGATAAAATTATATAGTACCGGAAGCAAGAAAAGCACTTGAAGCTGATAATTATATATACATAGAAATAACAAATTTCGAAATAAGGTCACGATCGCCTGTCAGATAGGCGTAGCGATAGGAAAAATCCTGTACGGATTATTTCCAACACTATACACCGAGTACAAGTGCAAATATAAGCCTAGTTAAGTGTATTCTAAGTAATTTGAAAAAAAATTATTTTATCGACATAATTACATCTTTAGTAGGTACTTTTATAAAATATAATTTATATATAGTATATTCTATTTATTACTCTAAAAGTATATTTGTATATAAACCGTACTACTTATTTTATAATTTAGTATATACTAATAAAATCAAATTTGAATAATGAATATTTTATAAGATAGTGAACATTATTTTAAAATGCGCTTATAGTATATTAATCAATTATTAACATGTATTAAATATACTTGTTAAAATGAAAATATAGGGCTATTTTTTTATTATTTCTAATATTTTACAGGTTTTTGACTGTAAAGTTAGGATATATTTATAAAGAATATTATGCTTTAGGGATATTTTCTATTTATTATATACAATTACAAATGAAAGATTAAAACCTGTGCTTGTTTGATTCTTATTTTGAACAAATTAAACAAAGCTTGTAGAAGTAGAATTAACATAAATATATATACTATATATATATACTGTATATTAGTATAATATGATATAAGTAATTTAATAGTAATAAAAATATCAACAACGACCCATTACAAAGAGAAGATCAAATCGTCTTTCCTTGTATAAACATCACACCTCTAATGGGTTTCTAGCCGCTAGGCTTTGGATGCAAATCGTATTTTGGCCAGCAGAATATCATACTATTTATATACAAAATAAAGGTCTCAAATATTAGTTGAAGAAAGTAATTCTATTATTCATATAAGTTTTTAATTAATATTCAAATGATATAGCAAACAGATGGTTTATTTATGGTCTTGTTCTGTAGAGAATTTCTTATAAAAAATATAGATTTGAATATATATCATTTTCTCTTTTTGATTATTTATCCATCGATTATATTAATCACTGATGAAATCAGTATTGGTTAGATTGGATTAACAGGATATGTTACCGTCTATTGGATAATTTCAAAGAAACAAATCGAAACCATACTTTTATAATCTAACCTCTATTTTTGTAATGGCTTTCAACCAGCTTAGAGATTATTTTAATGTTTGTAACTTACTAACCGGGTAAATCTTATAAGATTAGTTTTTCACTTTCTTTCATCAAGATTATAGATTAACAAGCAGCAGCAGTATGATTTGCTCTAGGTGTTAATACTCTCATTTTTAAGCTTTCTTTTCTGATAGCGTTACTACTCTATGGTGACGTAATATATATATATACAATATGTGTGCTGGGGTATATCCCTAATGATTTTTATATTTTTCTTCCGCTTATGTGCAAGGAATATAGATGGTAAAATAAACTCTCCCACAAGTCCGGTTAGTAGCCCTTTTCTCCCTTCAAGATAAAGTAGCAAACTCTTCTCTCTTAAAGAAATCAACCAGTCATCTCCTTACTTTATATAAAATACTTAGTTACAGAGGCCTTGCGCGAGTATAGATAAGGTCGATTGGACAAAAAAGTTGCCTCTTAAGACGCTAAAACCAACGTCATTTTCAAACTCCAACCGCAGGCAGTTTGCAGTCCCGTTGGGTCTACTGCAATAAGTTTGTTTAGTTAACGTTTGGCTGTGCTGGCAGTTTGTTTGTCGATTATGACCACCTGCAGCGTTTTCCGACTTTGATGCTAATTCAGTTTGCCCTAGGAGTTGTAAGGTTTTTTTCGTCGCAAATTAATTGTTCCTACTGCTGATTAGATTGATTGCTCTAGTATTTTTAGTACTATACATAGTATTACTCATTAATTCCGGTATGTAAATATAACTGTGTACTAATATATAGAATTACGCTGTGCTGTATTTTGGCTGATAGATTTGTAGATAAACGTAGCCAAATATTAAAATAAACTAGAAAAAAACATTTTTAGTAAAGGAAGGAATATATAAATAAAATAATATTGCACATATAAATTCTATATATATATACAGTATATATATATATATATATATATATATAAATTTATACTGTATCTAATATAACATTGTTTTGCATGGTATCCTTACAAATATATTCTACCACAATGGTGAAAATATGTTCTTTTTTCAAAAAGAAAAAATCATTAAATACTCTCTTTCAGATGGATTTATCTCAAAGGGGGTGAGAGATAAAGAGAGTGAGGCTGCGACAGCTATAAAAGAGGGATGAAAAAAAAAGGTGAATGAAACACAGACAGCAAAATAAGAGAGTTTTACTATTTAAAAGAATACTATCAAACTAATAAAGGAAGAGTAACTCTGATTTTTCATAAGATTTCTATACCGAGCACATAGAGCGCAATGTACTTAAAAAACATGGAAAAGCTATTCCAATTTAATCAGATTTATTCACTGCAGGAATGAAGTAGATTATCTTGGAGAAGTTAATTACTTATTACCTTGCCTTAAATCTCCGGGATATTAAATCCTCCCAGATCCTGGATTGTTCTCATCGTAAACCTAATTGGTGTCACCATATAAAAAATAGTCTTTAATAGAATAGTGAGAGAGAGTGACAAAAATAGATGGAAAGAGTGAGAAATAATAAAATAGTTGATCAAAGACATGTAAATTTATTCATTATGTCATTCAAGTGTTATATTCACTATCATTTTTATTGATTTTCTTAAAGTAACAAAATATTAATAGTTAACTTTATTCATTAAATTCTTTATTCTCACATTATTCCATAGATGGCGCCATTTAGTCTTATCAAGTAGTAAAACTAATTTGATCCTTCTAACTCTAAAAGTTAATGAGAATTGGAGGAAAAAAATGTCAGACGAGCTTCTACTTAAATATTTTTAAAGAAGTTTTGCCTAGTTTGTATTTCTCAATCAATAAATGCATGGATATTATATCTATAAACTTATGATTTGATGATTTTAATGGTTTCAAGTTTTATGGATTCTTACACTTTTCTGTACCATAAAGATAAAAGGTAGAGAGAATTCTACCTACAAACTTGACTGAGATTGATTTCTCTATTACAGATTATACTGTAACTGCACTTAGATTGTAGCCTATATATAGACCGCACGTGTACTATGCATCAAACTTCATTCACTGAGTACCGAATAATTAGGATATGTACGAAAAAAATGCTCCATCAACTTTTATAGAAAGTTATTAAACGAAATTAGAGCAATATAAAAAACGTACAAACCTGAATAGGACAACTTGCAAACACAATTTCCATCATAACATTGCGCATGCTCGTGACAATTCTTGCAAAACCGACTATCTGACGGCTTTTTATCTTGGTCACATCCGCCGTCTAATCGAAGTTTCGAACCTTTATTTTCAAATACACAATACACTGCTCTTTTTCGGTTATTACGCTCTGTTGTCATCCATTTGAATATTGGACAAGAAGGTTGTTTGCATTCTCTATTGAAAATAACAAAAGATTTCTTTGTTAAATATAGATGTCACGTAAAATTTTGCAATTGATTGATTACTATTTAATATTTCTATTTATAATTAAAAAAAAGACACGTCTCTCTTTTGGCATAAAAATATATTAAAGGTAGACAATCAGACAAGACAAATCTTTAAGATTGGCTTCAAAGGGGAAAATATATGTTTAATTACCAACCAATGATTCCTAAAAAGATACATTTTCCTAAAATTTGTTTCTACTCTTTGATATAGATGATTTCCTGTCGAACGTTTCTCTTTATAGAAAATTTTTTTCCGCCACTTTTTACAACAAAAGAGAAACTTTTCACATTTTCTTTTTTTGCCAATATCGATAAAAAATAAAAAAGAATAACAAAAAATATTTATATTTTATCGATAAATCAATCTTTTTCTTTGAAATCAAAATACATTAACAAAGTTAAACTAGAGAAGGATTTTCGATTAAAATCACTAAGCTATTCTTACAATAATAACACTGTAAAAAAATTTTGATAATCTAATGTTTCATTGTTTTTCTTTTATTAATCAAAGTTTAACAATAAAAAGTGACGGTATATAACTCTTAATTAGAATTGATTACAATATAAATTAATCTCTTTAGAGAGGAGAGACATCTTCCGTTATTTTATTAAATTACTCATAAGGTTAACTAAGATATTCTGTTAAAATGTTTCATGATCAGAATGATTTCAAAATTAGAGCTGTAGAAAAAATGTCTTCTGTAAAAAAATCTTAAGCCTATTCTTGAATTGTATAGGATCTTTACAAAGTCGGTTTCCTAACCTATTTACTCTAAAGAAAAAGGGTTAAGTGGTGAGAAAAAATCGCTCTTCTCTAACATAAAAAAAGATGTCTGAACGATAGGAGTTCTTTATATGGAAGGCTGAAATTTAAATAGCCGAAAAATAGAATCATTTCCGCAGTATGAAATTTTACTCTTTTTTTATAAAGTTATCGACTTCTGTACAACAGTTGACCTATATTATTCGTTCACCCATTTTAGCCTTACTTAAAAACTATAGACGCCTACCCACGTGACAAATTAGGCTCACGGGTGCTATATTTTCTCGTTATTTAGCCATCTCATCTAAACGGCTTCTGAAAATAGACGCCTATACCTGACATAGCAGTATATCATTGGCTCTTTAAGCTTTTATTTAAAGTGTTTCTTATCAATATTTTACAGGGAGCAGAGAAAATTTCGCTAATTTTACGGACTATTTATATTAATTAATTGATACGTTAAATCACTAAACTATGAAATTTTTTACTAATCAATTAATTAATTTATTAATTATTTACGTCTTCAATTCTTAGATAAAATAATCAAAGATCATTGATAGAAGGATCTCTACAAATAAGATTTTCTATTATTAATTCATGAGAGGACCGACTTTTTAGACGATCCACTCACGTTTGTAGCCAATGACCCCGTTCAAATAAATAGCTCAAATAGTAAGATCAAACTTGTATATCAGTGACATATATTCATGACAAACATATACCTTAATCCTATAACTTTCTGTTACTGTTTTGGTTTTTTTTCCCATTCAATTAATTAGTAAATAATATATTTAAAGTGTGATATATATGTATTTCTTTTTCTGGGAATGATAATGTAATGATAGTCCTTTAAAAGAAAATAAGAATATAATATCTTTCTTTTCTCCTCCCTTTCTCTCTTATTCTTTAGAATTAAAGAAGGCGTGAAAGGAGTCTACAATAGAAATTTTCTTACAATGCTCCCTAATGAACTCTAAAGAGTAGTGTGAATAATGATTACATTTCTTTTTCATCGAAATTGGTAATTTAATTGATTTTTTGATTGAATATTATAAACGTACCTCTCTTTTAGACCTTCCTCAGAACATCGAGCTCCGTTTGTGGCTCTTCTGACGACTGACCTAGATTTATAACTGATTCCCTTTGATGTCTTACAATCAAGGAAACACGGACCCCATTCGGACCATTCAGTTATAATGCAATCACCAGGGCAAGGTATATAACAAGATTCTTCAGTTTTTGGTTTTTGCAGTTTACAACCTTCTTCAATCCTTCGACCATCGCTTCTTTCGCAATAAACAGTCCTATGTCTAGTTCCCTGACCACATTGACCATACCCAGCTGAACATTCAGACCAATCACTTGTCGACCATGAAAATTTGTAACAGGGTATTATTTTACAATAGCTCTTCTGTTCTAAGTCACTTTCTTTTGGGCATGGCCTCCCATAATTTACTGGCTGTTGTAAAATTCTTCTAGTTCTGACTTTTATCATTTTAGGACCACATGTTTTAGAGCAAGAAGACCAGGATGACCAGGGAGACAGCTGACAATCTCTATCGCATTCTACACGACATGTCTCTTTGTTTGTCAAATGCTTTTTTTCACAATATGTGTGTGATACAATCATACTGTCATGAAGTCTCACGCAATTCAATGGCCTTAAACGTTGTCCAACACCGCATGTTGAGCCGTTTAGTATACAATCCGTCCATTCGCCTAATTTCCATTTGTAATCCCGGCAGGCACACTCCTGTTCTTCCGTTAACCTGTCGCATTTTTTGGCTTCTCCCCTCCTTTCTTTCTCAATTTTTCTCGTTCTTTTTCTTCTATATTTCATGCAGTCGCATGGCGACCATACAGACCAGTGGCTTAATTTGCAGTCGCCTGTGGGCGTTTTTTGGCAGTCAATATACTGTTATTAGTTAGGTCACGTGATTTTTTGCCTAGATTGAAGTTAGTTTTGCATTTTATTATCAAGTTATAATGCTGTATTGTTACACTTGCAACCGTATCATAAGAATACAATTTTTAATTAGTTTACTTGGATTTATCCGTGATACTGGATTCTTTACATTAGTACAAAAGAATCTTATCGAAAGTAAAGTTGATTAGGGTTATTGCTGACAAAAATTAAATGAAAAATTAAAGACTTTCCCATTTAAATTAGTATTTACATGAGCGTCATAAAATAACTTAGAATGCCAATTAACTTTTGCTATTATATCTGACTTTGCTGAGTAATGTTGACAAAACTTAAAATTGCATTTAGGGCTAACGCTATTATCATCTGGAACCAATGGTTAACTAGGCTCGCAGCTAGATAAAATTAATCAGTATAAAAGGGACATATATTGGAACGGTCTAAAGGTCGTGCGATCCTTTCTTTCATGCTCCATCAGTAAGCAAATAGCGCTCCATCAAAATAAATACCCTGAAAATTTTTTTAAAAGACCCTTATACAACTCTTTTGTCATTCTTTTAGAAAAAACTACCAAAAACTAATAAAGGATGATTGGTGCTATTTTTTCTTTATATCTTTGACCTTGACAGGTTTTTAGTTAAAAGAAAAATCTCACCGACACAAGCATTATCGCAAATTTCCTCCGTCTTAGGTTTCGGCGCTAATCGAAGACAGAGACTTTCGCTTCCGGCTGGACATGTAACGCTTCTATTTTGGATACCTTCTCCACAACTTTCTTTTGATTCACAGGAGCCCCAATCTCCAACCTTCCATTCTAATTCATGACAATCACGCTGTGTACAAACGCGCTTTTCTTTTAAAGGACGACAAGGACGCCCTGTGAGCCCTGGCCTAAGGTCAATACTTCTATTTCGATACTGAATGCCTTCACCACACGCTTCCAAGCAAGAAGACCAAGGCTGCCAATTGGAAAGCTTGCAATCAATAGGCCTCTTGACAGAGCAGGACCGTCTGGTCTGAGGCATATGTTTTGGGCAGAATTTGTTTGAAACAAATGTTTCAATGGAATCATTGATTTTAACACAAGACACTTGACGCTTAAGAACACCAGGGCCATAAGTTTCATTCTTAATTATACAAGATCCCCAAGACCCTAATTTCCATTTAAACATGGGGCACGTTTGATTGTTGCATGGTTGACGTTCTTCTAGGCGTACAGAATGAATACGAGAACATAATTCTTCTAATTCAAGATTATCACCAAATTCCTTAATTTGTCGATATCTAACACGATAGCCAGAAGTTTCATTAGGAGTTTTGCATGAATGATTACACTGTCCAAATGCTGACCACTCGGTTAAGATACAATCTCCAGCACAAGGAATGAAGCAACTCTCCTCAGTGGCTGGTTTTGGGCGTTTTTCAGCACAGATTGCTATTTAGATATAAAACAAATAAAAGGCTTATTAAACTTTCTAGTATACACGCAGACTTCCTATAAATATAAATAACGTAAGATGAGTTGAAAGAACAGATTTTTTAATTACTTTTAGTACCAATTTCTATAAATATTGTATAAACTAGAAGCAATATTACGGCTTTAGAATAGCCTAATATCCTTCATTTATTACTGCTGGGAGTTTATCGTCATATTTGATTAGTGTTTTCTTTCAATCGATATTTTATAATACCCACTTATTATAGTAAAATAAGGTAATTATCCAATTATTCAAAAAGTAAGTTATCGTCAAATTACACCATCCATTTTCATTACACGCCCTCAATAAACTTTAGTAGGGGGAAGAGAGGAAGAAAAATTACTAAAAATTATTTCTCTAACAAACTGCTTATATAACGATAAAAAGTTAATTTAAAAGAATAATCAGATTTCATTTGGCTGTTCTATGTTTTAATTTAACCCATACATCATTCTATATTCATATATCTAAATAGAATGTGTAAAGAATGTTTAGGGGCTAACTTTCTTCCCGAAAATATGAAATGAAATATTATTACAGATCCATTTCAACACTTTTATAGAGCATTACGACATGTCACGCAAGGTTACCGTCCTAAAAAAGTCATGCGAAAGAACTATAATAAATGATAAAAATATTGCCTAGGATATAACTATTCTCATCTTTTTAATGGAAAAGGAATATTAGGAAGGAAAAGTATGAGCTTACATTCACTGATAGTTCTGTTTCGCCCATCATTTTTTTCCTCGCATATAATCTTTCTTTTCCTCTTACCATATCCGCATAAAAATTTGTTTGAAACCGTACAATTTTTCCACTCAAACTCCTTCCAATCAATCCTTTTACAGGATCTTACTTTACACTTTTCCTCCACTGTTTGTACTCCATCGCCTGATAGGTTGCCCGGACATTTTTTACCATTTCCCACCGGTAGAATATCGATTCGTCTCCATCTTTGTCGTGTTCCCTCCCCGCATGTTTGGGAGCATGGCGACCACTCATTCCACATTGTCATTTTACAATTAGATGAACACAATATTGTACAGGCTTTTTTTGGTTTTGGTTTGAGACTTACATCACATAAGTCTTCATCTACAACATTTTTTGTAGACGGATCAATGCAAGTAACACTCCTCTCTTGTATTCCTTTGTTCTCTCCACAGTCGGCTCCTATTTTCTTACAATTTGACCATCGACTGACGTTCCATAAATACTCTATACAACGTTTTGGAGGACAATTCGTAGTTTCTTTTAAATCTTCATCTGAAACACAACGACCAGTAATCTTTCCACGTTCGCGAACGGATTTGGTGCGGGTTTTATGGCCTTGTCCACAGGTAACGGAGCAGTCCGACCACTCTGTCCACTCGCTGACTTGACAGTCCAAGCCATTTGAGCAAGGCTTATAGCAATTCTTAGTTGAAAGTGGTTTGGTACCTCCTGACAATTCGCATTTATGATCATCTTCTACCTCTTTACTGTTCACATCAAAACAATGAATCGTTCTACTAGAAATTCCCTTTCCGCAAAGTCTATTGTCTTCGGGTGAGCATTCCGACCAGGGACCTGGAAAGTAATTATAATTTATTTTATTGATATTTTATTTATGGCGTTTTCGCATCAAACCATCACCTTTTACTATCTTTTTAACTTTACATACATGATTTAAAAAGAATGAGTGTGAGAGTGCAAGACTGTTATTTCGCCCTCTTCTATACATCTACTTTACGAGTTAAAAGAGGCGAGAAGGCCTTGACAAACGATACTAAAAAAATACCGAAACATTGATAAACCGACTGTAGTGAAATGAAAAGATCTTTCCGTATGATTAGACTATATCTCCAGCTGCCAGCATGTCATTGTTATCATAATCTATATACCAAATTTGATCCTATTACGTTGAATGAGACTTTGCTATTACTTTTTTTTATTACAAAAAGTTAATTAACTACAAAAATTAAGTATTTTTGTCTATCTGCAAAGATTCGTTTAATCGTTAAGTAAAATAAATAATATTGATTTAGGCCTATAAAATCACTGTTTTGTATTATGATAAAGTACATTTAAAAAAAGATGAAGATTATCAGTGAAATAAGTTAATCTCCCTCTTTCTCTCTCTCTCTCTCTCTCTCTCTCTCTCTGTGAAATATATATAAATATCGTTATAGTATTCGATTTGTAGCCTATAGTAAAATTATTTATATAAGATATTTATACGAACAAACAGTATCTGTGTCCTTAATGAAGTATTATTTCTTTATTGAATTTTCTGAAATGGTGGTTCTCTAGATTTTCATTACTTTCTTTCAAATAGCTCATTCATTTTAGTAATTTGTTTTGTTTTCTTTACCAACGAGTCTCCTTACCATTTATATATATATATATATATATAGAGTTTACGTGAGCTATTTTATCAAGATTTTGCAGGATGGTTTATATATATACAAGTATATATATATAATGTATTTAAATATATACAATAGAGCTACTTGATTAACTGTAAATTCTGTTAAATGTAATAAAATGACGTAATACTTGGTTATATTTCATAAATCTTTTTTCTTATCAAATAAAATGACAATTAGCACAGTAAAGCCTGAGAAAATCTAATAAACATTCGTTAAATATCTAATTAATATTTCTAGCCTAAATTTGAGATTGAGCTGGGCTTAGATAGCTGTCAATAAGAATAAATTACTTATATATAAATAGGTAAATAGGGATTTTAATACCTGTTTTATAAATACTAATAAAAATAGGTTATTGCTAGTGAAGAGGTAAAACAATTCTTTTCTTTATTCTTGAATGTGAAACAGTATTCTATCACTTTTTTTCTAGTTAATTGGGGTTACAGTAATTTACGTTAATTTTCTAAAACAGGGTTTTACGATAGTTATTTACTTATTATATCTGTTATTTATTCCTTAACGTATAGAATATCGTTAGTTTTAGTATAAACACTATAATAATAGAAAAAGAAGGTTTAGATATAGTGTAAAGCTAGCCACATTTCACGACGGGAAATAGAGACATGCGATTGGAAAATGTCAAATCTCTGACATGTATAGTGTTACCTAACCTAGATAAACTTACTAGCAGAATTAAAAGTTCTTTTTTGATGCTATATATGATGTATAATTTATTATATACCCTATACCTATAACTTATTTATTTGTAAAAGATGCATTCTTCTCTCTTAAAAAATCCTCCGTTGAGTAAATATAATTTTAAAAGTAAAGCAAAAAATCAATATAGACAGAGCTGCCGACTTAAAGTATTCCCACTGTTCTTGAAAAGTGTAATAAGAGGGAAACATTCCAAAATCATCTATGAAGTAATCATCAAATTTAAGAGGGGAAGAGGGAGTAAAGAAGGAGGGAGAGAAGGAGAATGATTTAGTTTTTCTTATCCGCTATTTTGTAAATAGTCTTAAAATATTTAGAATATATATTTTTTTAGATGGTACAAATCAAAAATTATTCTTTTCAAGCAATATAAACAATATTTTGAATGTTACATTACTGAATAATTAAAAGAAGAATGATTTGTATAAAACCGATTGACTAATTACGTAGGTGTTTTACGTAATTACATCTCAAGTTAAAATCAACCGCTGCGTTTACTTGTTTGAGTAAAGTGCTTTAACACGTATTAATTTTCTTATTAGAGAGTAATGGAATATATTCAACTACATTTAAAATTTCACTATATATCGTATATCCTGAATACATTTTACTATTATTCTTTATTTATATTTTATCCTTTTTCTCTTAGTTGGCTATGCTTTATTTTTTTAATTTAAAATAATATACAGGAATTTGGTTTATTTATTCGCATGATATGCTGTATAGAGAGCCTATTCAACTGGAAAATAAAATAACTAAAGAACATTTTATTAAGAAAATTGGAGAAAAGCAAATAAGTAAGAAAGAAAAACTACAGCAAAGATTTTGTTAATCTTTCAATTAAAGAAATTCAAATCGATACACATCGGAAGATGAGAGTAGGAGAGAGAATAGACGCGAAAGAGAAGAGGACAGGGTAAAAAAGAGAATAAGAGATTGAAAAGGGGAAAGTGAGAGGGAAAGCTCGATAAAACGCGTATTTTGCGGACGACACGCTTAACTGACTGCAATTTCCTGCGAGTTTAGAGAAAAATCTCTGAAAGTAATCAAGACTCCTCTTATCGGAATTTTCTTTTAAAAACGTCTGAGAATACAAATTTTTCGTCTCTTTTCTCTCCTTTTTACTCCCTGTCGATTTATTTTTACTTTTAGATAACTTAATTTCGGTCGAGTGTGCGTAATATAAAACTGACTTTATTAAAAGGAATGGTAAATGGACGTAATACCGTTATGAGAGAAAAATTGGTAGAGTGACTTTTAGAGAGAAAACAATTTGAAATCTTATATACACTTTTCATTTATAACAAATATATTTATATAAATGAAGTTGTATACTTTGCGGTATACACTGTATATAGAAATATATATATATATATATATATATATTGTCTATGCTGTATTGTCTATCTGTGTTATTTACTTTAGTAGTACTTCTCTATAGGTAGTTACACGTTTTATCATGATACGAAATTTTTTACCGTTTCCGATAATACAATATTTTAGCCATGTATAAAGTTTTTACTTACATTTTGTGTACTCAGAGGAAAATTCTATAGATAAAAAAAATGCTGCTTAAAATTCATGATATATATAATCTTTTATCTTTCTTTCGACTAAAAACCTTCATACCGACTCTCCTGATAATAAAAAAGAGTAACTCAATCCAGTAATTTAAATAAGAGATTCTGTTCTTCCTTGAAAAGTTAATATTTATCTGTCTCTTTTAAATTTCTTATTGAAATATCAACTATTTTCTCTTTTCACTAAATTCTTTTGTCTAATTTTTCCCTTTTTTCTCTCTCGATCTATTATTCCATTCACATATACTACTTAAATATTACACAGTTAACTTATTTAAACGCTGCCATTTTTTGTAAGAACGCTTTAAATAAGATAATAACAAAGAGACTCAAAGATTTATCAATAACTTCAACAGACCAGAAAATTTCCTCAAAAAAAAATAAATTCTCACTTGACGAAACAATTTTCGGTTTCTTTTGTTCTTTCTCTGTTTTAAGTCATTATTAAAACACAGCATATTATTTTTTCTGATAAGTTTAATTAGCTTCGTTAATGATATTCAGATATAAATAATTAAGCTTATAGAATTGAGAGAATTCTAATATGAATTCTTATCATTATTTCGTATGAATTATCATACTTTTTATTTAAAGAAAATATAATATTGAAATGTATTTTTTTTCGTTTGTCTCTTACAAAATGCTGATTAAAATGCTGGAAAATAATTGAAGAAATATTAGGAATGGAGAAATACCACAAGTTGTGCCAAACAAAAAATTAGCGAAAGAAAACATTCATCAAAAGACAGCGAAGCTAGCGAAACGATTATTTCCTGCCAACGTCAATTCAACAGCGCTAGCATCGGACGTACGTCAAAAAGATTGATAAAAGTATAAAAAGAAACGAAGAAAGGCGTAAATTAATTGATGTTTACCAGTTTATTTAAGTATAAGTTTATATGAGGGAGGTTTATTGACAATTTTTAATGTGGAAGTAGTGAGTATTGTCAATTTTTGCCTTTAAAATTTTCATTTACCAGTTGATTATAAGAAGAGAAACTTTTTTAGGATATTGTAAATTGTCTACAGTTACGATAAATGGTTTGTTAACAACTCTCCCTTAATCAGAAGTCAAACAAAACAAAAAAGAAAAATATTAAGCATATTACAAGAATTTATCTTAAATCTTCCTTTGTCATAACTTTCTTTAGTTTTAATCGTTTAATCGTCGAGTAAAATTTAAAATAAGTGGAATCGATAAGTAGGGCTATGTAAGTTTTTTGCTACTCATTTTACTCTGCTTCTGCCTATTTTGTCTTTGCTGTCGATATAACTTTTCCAGTTATATAAATAAACAAGAGAAGAGATTCTCTGTTACTACTGAGGTTACCATAATATGCTTTAGAATACATTAGACGAAGTATTTAATGACTTTTTGCATGAACTACCTATTTAGATAATTTTTATATTATTTTAGTGGAATTAACAGTAATTTTCTCCTATAAAAAGGGAAAATAACTGATATAGTTACCGTCTTTCCAATAAAGGCCCCACCGTTTGCATGATATAAGGTCAATGGGTTTATCTTTATCACAGCCTAAGTGTTCCCTATCTTGTTCCGGTGTTAAAATCTCTCGTGTACGATGACTCATTCCCTCATGACATTCCGACCAAGATCCCCACTCTCCATATTCGCAACCAATATTACAAGGTAGTAGGCAAGCTCGCGTTGTGATCGGTTTAGGAGAGGCAACTGGAAAAAAGGAAGGAAACATAAATAGATAGATAGAAATGGTGGAGCTTATCAAATCAAGTTTGACAAGGGCCAAGTGGACTAGGTCCCCACTCTGATTTTTCTGCATTTTTGGCACGACTTCATTCATGGACCCCTTCACGAAACTCTTAAGAAATAGACTTTTCTTTGAGAAAATATAACTTATATAGCATTGCACATCTTGAAAACTATACGTTACTCTTGTTTATTTTACTATTTATTTTATTTAAATTGCAATAGTGTTGGTTTTTTGTTGTTGCTGTTTTCATCTATTCTAAATTATGCATAAATTCAGAATGGCTGTTAATTAATTAGCTGTAAATATATTTAAAATACTGTTCTACTCTATGCTATACTGTATAACTACATACTATGCTATCTTTACAATATATTGTATAGATATTTGTAAGCGATATGCTTGTAGACTAGGCTTTTTCATTTAAGCATGACAGTATTAGAGATAGTACTATAAATCCTTTCGTACTTCTTAATACAAATATTATTGTTCTGAAAGAAAGTGTCAATGCTCTAGTCGTTTTCTATTATTCTCTTTTATTGTATGGATTAAATTGTGCACGAAATATTGTTACCAACAGATAATTTTCGGAGTGAGATTAGCCTTTAATTAGAAAGTTTAAATTATAGAGAATTGAGGACTATCTTCCTAAAGATGGGAAGCTATCATAACCAATCTGTTATTAAAGTCTTTGCATCTTTCAATAATTCTATAGCATCTTGTTACACATTTTTTTCATAGGGTTATATATACTGTAGATATAAATATATATAATATATATACAAAGTAGAACAATTGATGACAAGAACAATGGAAGTGGGTTGCTAGGAGTGAGACTTGCGTGCAATTCGGCTTTGACTTATCGATTTATGTTGAATCATTTGATTCATATCGGATTATGTACGCTTTTGTTACACATTTCCTATTAATATTATAATTTTTGGGTAGAATGTCAGTATTTCCGAGTATTTTTTTCTTGTATGCAATATATTTTCTGAGAAATGTAAAACACATCAATTTGTAATAATTTGGCAAAAAAATTAACAACCAATGAAGAAGGAAATATATTACATGTTTCATAAATCCTTATTATATATATACTATATGCGTATTTAAAATAAATGATTTGTTAAGACTTGCTTCTCATTAATCACACATCATATTTACTATAAATCTATATAAATTATCTTAATTTACCGTATAATTTATAATAATATGTTATTAATATCACTTATTTCTATTTTAATCATTGATTAAGGAGAATATTGACACTCACGTATCGAATTGAGAAAACGTTTTCGGACAAGTACTATTTCCCTATTTCACGCTCAAGTGCCTTAAATATCACAGTTTTGATCGAATCAACTTAAAATAATTTAAATTTCTAATCTAACATCAATTCCATTTGCCGAGTAATTGTTAATTAGTCGATCTCATAAGTTATGTAATTATGCAGTCAAGTCACTTTGTATAAAAGTAAAAAAAACACATTTGTATCTCACTTGTTCAATACTAATATATGATGTTTTATTTATTTAATGGGGTTTAAGTTTTCTCTCCAGCTCTTTTCTCTGTCTAACTCATCCCTTTTGCGTGAAATTATCAACGAACGATTATTTCGTCTAATTAACTCTTTAAAACCTAATTACTATCTGTCATGCTGCAGCAAACAAGTCTATAACTAAAATAATCGCCATTGCTAAGGATTATTTAATAATCCATATTGTTTGTAGTACCACAGGTCGCTTTTTGTCAGTTCTCTAAAAAAAGATATTTTCCGATATTTTTGACTCATATATAGCCCGAAGGTCAATCGGATTGAAAGAAAAAAAGAAAGAAGTAGACCTTTTAAGGTATTAAGATTGTTTTTTCTCTCTTTTTCTATTGCTTCTACTATTTTCTTTCGCCTAAAAATAAAAAGAGACATTTTCCTACTTTTAATCATTTAAAAAAAAAAATTTTTTGTAACCTTCATAAGAGACAAGTATAAGAAGATGACATTTTCTGTTCTCTCTTGTTTAATGAAGATAATTACAAACAGAGCATATATTGTATGTAATTTAATTGTCTTTTCTACTACCAAAAAGATTGATTTGTTATGTTTGAAAAGAAAGATTAACATATTACGAATAAAATGTGTTATTTTTAAACTATGCTAGTACAACTTTTTTTTTTTGTTAAATAAAGTAAACACTACTATTCTAAAAATAGCAAAGTTTTTTCAGTGAGTATTGATGGTAGAGAAACTTAAGGTAGCGCATTTTGATTTATAATTTGACAAGTCATTTTAGAAGTCGAAAATGAATGAAACAATTTTCGATTTTTATTTACATGGACGTACGCACACGCATACTACTCACACAAACACACAGACACATTCACACACTCCTTTTGTCTGAAATATTCCCTTTCTCCCTCTTCATACGTCTCTCGTTTATATTTTTTGTAAACAAAAATAAAAAGTCTGTTCATTTTGATCCTTTCATATCGACACAGGCCTATTTTGGCGGATATTATCGTCAATTATTTAAGTTCAGTTAAGGGAAGCATAACAAAATTTGCTGGTTTTCATTTCCCTTCCTAAATACAACCATCGATCGATTAGCATTCATTTTAGGTTATAACAATCAATGACTTTGATTGTATTTAGTTAAAAACACTTGAAACTCAAAGTATTGGGAAAACGTAAATTATGGAATATTTTTGGATATGCCACTGGAATAACTAATTAGGGAATGTTCGTTTTTTAAACGAGCTTGTTCTTTTTTGAGAACAAGCCAAGCTGAAAATGACTAACCCTCGATAAAAAGAGGCCGGTCAAGTGAGCGGTAACAAGAAAATAGCTACTCTTTTGAAAAATTGTGATAACAAGCCCATATTTTAATGAAGGCATTATAATTTAGACAACGCCCCAATAGTTAACGATACATGCATAGGCCATATACATGTTATATAATATATATATACTTTTTAATATAGTCATGTTAAAATATGAATATGAAATTTTAGATTAAGATAAGCTTATTACCTAAATATTTGAAAGAATTTCAATAGACTTTTCTAATTTGTAATAGCATAATTCCATATAGTAGTACCATATTTATCTAGGCTTATGCACATGTAGAACATCTTGACATACTGTATATTAGTATATATGTAAATAGTGGCTCATGAAAAACTAATCAAATTGTTGATACCAATTCTTAAGTAAGGGAAAAAATCCTATTTTTTTCACTTGGTCACTTAATAGAAATTATTTATTTTGCAAAAACCTAAAAAATCGGATGCCTAATAAGATATCTACAGTATTTATAATTGCAAGTAAATAGGGGCAGGTGGCTTGGCAAAACCCCATCTTCTTAGCTTAATTTCTCAACAAATTCTGTGTCACTGGGATTCGGACCATCTCACCATTATTAAATTATCCATTCAAACTTTAACTACTAAAATTAAACAGAATGTAATTTATGTATGAATTTTTTTTCTTTATAAATAATTAATATTTAGATTGATCGCGATAAAAGCGTTACTCTACAAAGGGGATGCTTCTATCGGTAAAGAAGGATTAACTATTGTCCGCTTTTCCTCGATAAAATTCAATAAATGACAAAGTTCTAAAAAAGGACGTTGCTATTGACTACACATCTATTACACATATAGTATAAAATGATTATGTAAAAACATTGATTTACTATTTGAGAATTTTCAATAGTAAGCATTAAAGGAGGATTAAATATTGAAATACGAGAAACAGTATTGGAAGAAATAGTTTTGTAAATTCGATGAGTTGCCCATCTACTCTGACACCCGGTACATTTTATTAGCGTTGCGCATCGATCTCTTTACAAGAGGGGGTCCAGTGAGTAAAGCGCCTAAGTACTTTTGTCAACAAACAATGTTTTCAATTTACCTACCGCAATAATTGTCGGTTGCTGCTTGACCGTCCGAATTTAGTCGACAAATTACCTCCCTATTTTGGTATCCGGATCCACAGGAACCCTTAACTATGCAACGGCCCCAATCTTTAACTGTCCAATCACCCCTGGAAAGAAGTATGACTGTTTAATGGAATGCTTTTTTTTGGATATATAAAAGGCAAATTTGTCTGTAACTGGTAGCAGGAGTAGTGGTATGTAACTTCTGCATAAATATATCAACTCAAATACTTGATAATTTAGTAACATTTTTTTAAAAATACGTCCTTGTCAGTTGATTTTATCGAAAGTCGTTCTAATTAAGACTCATTAGTGGCAGGCAAGCCTTGTTTTTTAGCCATAGCATTTAATATCTACATACGTATATATACAATATACTGTATATAATTAAAGTTTTTACTTTAAACTGCCAAACAAATTACAAATAATTTATGTGAAAGGCTATTTTTAGACATTTCCAAAATTCTAATACCAGTTTTTCATATACTGTATAGACATATTATACTGTATATATACTGCTTAGATAGAGATATGTTTTTGAAGTAAGTATATAACCACTTCAATAATAGAAAATGTACAATTATCAATAATAATTTCATTATAAATCATCTAAGGATTTATCGCAGCCCTTCTAAAAACTCTGTCAGTTTCAGTACGTAGTATTGCCTCTTTTGGGAATAGCAATGAGAATAACACTCTCCCTTTTTACTCTATTTTCCTGGGAAAAAATCCTCATACCTGGAACATTCTCGACCTACACAAGGTTGAATTTCTATTTGAGGGGGACAAGAAATGCCTCTATGAGATGAGGGTCTGATAGTTTTCCGTCTTCTTTTCTTTTGTCCTCGACCACAACTAGAAGAACAGCTTGACCAGCTCTGCCATTCGCTTACAAGGCAATCACACGGTAAACTACATTGTCTTTCTTGTATAGGTTTTTCTGTTAGGAATAATCATTAATAGAATGTTGTAAAGATAATCCCTAGTTTCTTTTTCTTTTTATTCTTTTCATTTACAAAAACTGTTTTTATTAAAGATTTATATTTCATAGGGACATTAACGTTTATTATTTATGTTTTCTTAATAAATAACAAAAAGAAAGAAAATAAACATTGAACCGGAAGTTCTTAACGCTATCAATACGGCGTTAAATGTACGAGTCAGAAAGAGATCCTTCTCAATTACCGCCCCGCCACATTCCATCCTTATCCATCAACGTCCCGTAAGCCGCGTTTGGTACTCGATCGTTAAAAATTGGCGCTGTGCAAGAACGCGTAAGCCGGATAAAGTATTTAAAGCTGAACAATTGAAGCGGATGGAAAAATTGTGAGCAAGCTGATGGAATTATGGATTTGCGCTATTTTGAGTTTTCAACCTAGTATGACTTTCAGATCATAAAGCATTTATGTTTGTTTTATACAGACATTATCTACCAATATCCACCAAATGAGATAATTATTCTTTGGTAAGAATAAATATTCCCATAGAAACATATAAAAAACTGGACGTTATTGTTATACCCTCTTTTTTTTCTAAAAAAAAAAACATTAATTATTACTTTTTTAACGATGTATATATTTTCTTTTATGCATTAAATTTTCCAGATTTTGTACTCGTTATATCCATTGTTCAAACGGTTCCCAGTATGCATAATACTAAGTTTTTGTGTTTAATATATATTATTCAATAAACTCCTATAATAGTTAATGATAAGGACAAGTGCTAGTTTAATTTTATTAATCAATTAAGAATTCAAACTAAAGAAATAAATTATTAGATAGAATTTAAATTTAATTAATAAAGTTACCTTAACTTCATCTAATATTTACAAGGTTTGCAGCGTAATAGTCGAATATCTATATTAGTATATCGTAAATTTTTCTAATGATCTAATTTGTAACATAACAAGAGAAAATCTATTTCCTACCAATAGTAGCTTTAATAGCCAGTTTGACTGGCCCTTAACTCCTTTCAAACACGATTAACTTTTTGTGTAATAGTATAATTAAACTGCACAGTACAGCTTGAGTAAATTCTTATTAGTCTAAATTCCTTTCGTAAAAATTAATAATATTGCTCTTACAAAAAAAGTTAGTGGAATTATTTACATGCATATATTTACATATATATATATAAAACCACGCTATATATGTACAGTGTAGACTGTACAAATTGAAATAATATATATTAAATGCGTGTAATACAAATTATGTTTAGCAGCTATTTCTTTTTTTAAGAATTGCTGGTTTATATAAATAATATAATAGTCATAGAATAGTATTATCATTACTCCTATTAAAACCATATACACAATGTTATTTTGTGTCATAAAAAAGGATTTACTATAAAGTAAGACTTTTTTGTATACTTTGCGTTAAATTATAGAATATTATATTGCAAATAGGGAACAAAAAGGAATTTTAATGAAAATCTACTAGAACCTAACTTTCATAGAGTCTTTAAGTAAGAAAAGAGATAGCTCTCTTATAAGAGATGTTTTTTAAAGAAATTTACTAGTGTTTTCTTTTCATTTTACCTCCTTTTCCACGTTCTAAATAACTAGGTTAAAAATGAAACCATACAATGGTTTTATTAAGGTTTCATAATATATGAGGTCACATAAGAATAGAACTCTAAGGTCAAGAATCTTTTTGGTAATTTATTCTAATGGAATAGTAACCTTTAACTTATTGATCATTTGAAACAGAATGGAGACGATTCCTCGAATAACGGATTCTGACTACGCTAGTCGACGCAATTTAACCCAGTAATATATCTGCACGACTTGATGCAATGGGAACGATACCTTTTGCCGCTCGAAACCTTTCTTTGACACTTTCATATCACGTTTTGGCACTAAACTCTCGGAAATTGTAACTGAATGAAGTGACACCTGCTACAACAACAAATTTCTTCTTGGTCGACTACTAATAACTTAACTTATTTCTAAAACTCATTTATTTAACAATTATTAAACAAGGCATGATTTTCTTCTATTTGAAGGAATAATTACAGTAAAGTAGTGAGGAGTAAGAAAAATAAATTTAGAAATAAATGGAAGAGTCTATCTCTGTGTCAGTCGATTGACTATTTTAGAAGAGATGGTTAGGAGAAAATTTTTCGTAGGCCTAATGGCTTTTTTGTACTTGGTCGTTTCGGTTTTCAAGTAAAGTGACGCTCTTAGACGCCAAGAGCGCCGAAATGACGGCAGCTTTTATTGATGCAAGAACGAACCTACATATAAAATTTCAGGAAGATTAGCAAAGGAAGTAGGGTTTTTGATGGAGTGACGGTATAAAAAAGAGAAGAAATACTGATTCACCTTTTACAGGTACAGTACTCGTGCCGTAATGAAAACCTTGTTAATAATAACGAGAATTTACAGACTCTAAACGCTTAGAAGTCTCCAAGTACAGGGAAAAATAAACTCGTACTTATCTTTATAAGAAATTGTAATAATAGAATACTTTATGTATACATACATTACTTAACGAGAAAATTACCAAATATGATACAGTTCAATTATATTCTTTTGTATATTAAATCATTATTTATATTAAAAATCGAAATTTTCAAGTATTATGTTAAATTCCTGCTTAAATTCAATAATAAATAATTTATTAAATTTTGTTGAAGTGTTGGAAAAGATAAAAAACTGAAAACACATTTGATTGACATAAAATATATCATCGATACAATTTTATTGATTACCAGATGTTTCGTCAATACTGTCTCGACATATTTTACGGATTATTTGAACAAAATCTTGAAATATTTCTCTATAACACGTTAAAGTACTAGCTTATATAAGCAAAGTTCCATGCTCTATTTCCTACTATCGTTGTTTCTGATTCCCTAGTGTACCATCTTACTTGTTGATGTTTGTATTGTCCTATCATATTTTATCTACATTTTAGCAGTGAATCACTTGTAACATAATATACGTTTCCCAAAAAGATGTAGGTAAAAGGAAATCCTTTTAAGTGAGACTTAATAAAAACTACTTGCCATCAACTTGTTCATTTTTTAGTCACTCGACAAAAAATAATAACACGATTATTGTAAAAAAAAAAAAAAAAAGAAAAAAAAACTGAAATTTCTCAATTTTGCTCATAAAATTTTTTTAAACCCAGCTTTAGTCAACTGATGTCAATCGATATTAAAATAAAGAGTACACTTGGGTAAAATCATCAAATCTTCGACACTATGCTCTTTTTATAGATAAATATACATGCTATGTTTATCTATATCTACAAGATATATATATATATATATATTTATATGTGCATCAAGTGTATATTGTAGATATAGAGATACATATATGTCTAAATACATATATATTTATATATGACTATTTCTTACTAGTTAAATAAATGTTTTAATAAATTAATGGAACCTGGTATAGTTTTGGATCAAATTAAATTCAATAAATTTCTATAACGGCAGGTATAAGGTTTCTAGTACTCTATTTTATACAAATAGTATAATGTATACCAATCAGAAAGAATTTCATCAACGTATACTTTATGTATACGCATATACTATATATTTACTGTATATATACAGTATATATAAACTGTATATTCGTCTCTGAGAGATGAAAAGTGTTTCCCACTGTCTTTGTTAATAGTGAAGGATAAAGAAAATGAAAAAACAACGGAACGAAAAGGAAATGAATAAAGAAAAAGAGAAAGAAAGGAAAATATATATATATATATATATATATTTTCAGTTGAGAGATTAAATAAAACAAATTTTTTCAGTCTTTCATTAAAAGAGAAAGACGATCTTTCAATTTTAAAATTCAATTGAAGAGTAAAGAGCAAAAAATTATCATAAATCTTATATGATTTCAGACAAGTTTATCATTGAATTTTTCACTTTTTGTTGCTATTTGTCCTTAAATCTCTCTTTCTCTTTCAAATTTACATAGTTATCTTATAACTGTATATAATACAGTATAAGATAATTTATTACTATGATACTTAAACTGAAGGTTATAAAAACTTCTTGTATTCTATTTTAATAAAGTAGATGACAAACTCTATTTATATATACTATATTCTATGTCCTTTAAAATTGATTAAGGAATTCTATCTTAAGAATATTCTCCTTCGAAATGCTACTTTTAAATGGAGAAATTCAATGCCATATGACTTAAGTGTTCTATATAATTTCTATGAGTAAAGAAAGTAATTTCTTCTAATCTCTCTAAATATAAAGTATAATAAAGTAGCGGATATTTTTCAACTGATCAAAATATAATTTCTTTTCTAACCAAAGACTTGACCTGTTAAAATTTGGTTTATACAGTTGTACAAATAGTATAGAAATACTTAAGTAAGTTTTCAACAAGCTTGTTCGTTATTGTTATAAAATAGAGAAAGAAAAGAGAGCACTTACGGAGGTTTCTGCAATATTTCTCTGGAATAACGTTCCCCTCTCTTCCTATACATTGAACAAGTCTTTTTTTTATTCCTTTTTGACAATTTTCAGATTTTTTAGCTGTATTCCAAAGACGGCAAGATGACCACCTTTCAGTTTTCCATTCACTCTTTGTTGAACATGTTGAAAAATTTGCACACTTTTTTGTTTGAACGAGATCAGGACATTTTAATCCTTCCGAAGGTGGTAATAAAATACTTCTACTCCTATATTGTATAGGTAAACAGTTCGAGCTACATCCAGACCAAGGCGACCATTCTGAAACGACACAGTTGTTCTGACATGTTTTACATTTTTGTTTTTCCGAAGGTTTTTCTATTTGAAATCCACGGCAAAAAGACGCTGGAACGGGCTCCCTTGAATGAACGCACGAAACCAATCGCTTCTGCTCGCAGGAACAACAGTTAGTTTCTTCTATTGGTTTGCAACGTCCCCAATTTTCCTTCCGAAATTCGAATAGGCCGCCAACGGTCGTGACTAGCACGATCGGCAGCCAGAACGCACGCATGTCATCCGTTGTCCATGGCTGAACGCCGACTACTAAAAGAACGTAAAACTTGCTTTGACAGCTCCACCTATCGCAGTGCGGAAAACTAACAATTCTTTCTATGAATGGTAAGACAAAATCAATTCCTATGGCAGTTAAAAATTGGCCATAAATATGTTTATTATTATAATCCGATAAAAATGAGCTACATTCAATTGTTAACTTAAACCATCGATATTTTTATATTACTCAAAGTCTTAACTACAAATGTTTTCTTTACTGTACAAACTCTGTAATTAATTGAAATGTACAATTACTTACAAAATTTAAATATCGTGTGAGATATGAGATACCAAATCAATACATTCTAAGAACGTGATTTGAATTGCGACATTGGTTTTTGTTAGGATAAAGACGTCTGGCTAATTGTGAATTTTTATTAGCATTGTATATTTTACAATAGAAACAGCAACCTTGTATTTTAAAGCTTCTTTCTTTTAAAAAAAAAAGAAAAAGAAGATACTTTTCTTTCCATCTTTCTTTCCTAATGATACTATCACAAAAAAAGAAAAGAAATAAAGAGGTAAAATATACGTCTAGACTCAGTTATCTTCAATTCTAGTTTCAACATCTTAAACTAAGTTTACAATTGTATAAATCTTTTCTCAGATGACCATAACAATTTTGTAAGATATAGCATTAATATCAATTTTCTGTAAAAGGGAAATCTCTACATAATTAAGTAATCAAAGACGACCTTTTACTATTTAGAGAGAGAAATGACAAAAAACTAGCTAAGAAATTTTCTTTATTTTTTTACTTCCATAAAAAAGATATTCTTATTAATTCACCTCTTTTAATTAGGGTGTCAGGTGAATATTTTACAAGCACGTTTACTATATTTACCCGATTTCAGTCGTTATAGATCTATAAATATAATTTTTTTGCTACTATATTTTCTATTAATGATTATTTCTTTTTTATTTCAACTTTATGTTCTATTTGTAAAATGTTGAAAGTATAGTTACAATACTATTTTTCCTTATGAAAAAGTTCGAAGGGATTGAAAAGTATCTTTCTGTTTGCTTAAATCGAAAGAAATTAAACTTTTATTTTACTATATTACTTTATTTTTAATATTTCAGTATAACGTATTGATAGCTGTCATGAAGATAATAAAATGAGGAGAGAAAGTGTCTTTGACAAAATCGATGGCCATAACCTCAAGCTTACTGGAATGGCAAGGAATTGTTTTATCCAATTTTTCAATAGTAATAGCTCCTGGCTTTCCTTTTATTATACCATTCGCCTTTCAATTAGGACAAAAGTTATTTCAGCTATTTCTTTGCAGAGTTTGAATGAAATTTCTACGAAAATATATCGATATTTAACCTCATTCCCATAAAGAAATATCACATTTTACTCCTATAGAGACTTTAAATATTTTAATTTATTGTAAAGAAATGCAAACTATCGATGACTATGTCTTGTTATTTAAATGACAAAATGCATCGAAAATAGCAATGAGCTGCAATAATATTACCTCGAACATTCTATGCTTTTCATGAAAAACGAACCTTTAAACCTTAAGGAAAAGAATTTTCTATACTAAGCTAAATATCTTTAACAAGGTAGAAATATATAAAGTATACAAATGAAACAGTATATACAGTATCTTAAGCAGTAACGTCGTATTTCTTTTAAATATTAAGTTTATATCGCTCCTGATATATAAATGAATAGCATATTAAAACTGTTAAAAATAATACGAAAAAAGACAAATTATACTATTTCTATTGATTGCGTAAACATTTGTTAAAATCCCGTTTAAAATTGATGAAAATAGACATAGCAAAATAGATTAATAGGAGTATAGAATTTATTCAACTTTAACTAAGTCGATACTTTTTTTCTTCCAGGAAATTAACTTCTACCTATACTGTATACCTTTGCAAAGTATGATCAAGTACAAATAAATCACTCACGCTACACTCCTAGATTGTAATTTGTTACTTTATGTTATTATCAGTATTCTTACCATAAAATTGAGCTAGATAGTCTTTTCAAAAATTTTATAAACAAATTAGAAACATAATCTGAACATTACTGTCTCTTTAAGAAATATTTATACTAAATATGATGGTAAGTTCTATGTATTAAGTACTGTCACGTTCTTATACTGCCCGCTTCGATGATTTTCCTTGTCAAGGACCGATGCATTAGGAATTAATGACAGGGAAAGAGTGGTAAGATGTTCAGTAACTTGAAAGTTTTTGTGTCCTTCCTAATAGTTTAATGCTTTTTTAAGATGTATTATTTATTCATTATTTAGTTTTTGCACACGAATTTCTACCCATTCTATTTCCATTTTCTAGATATTTAATGAAAAAGATAATTTATAGATTCTTCTCGAATTTAAAATACTCTTAGCATTTCTTTTTACTATTGTAGAACGCTGCAAAAGATATATACATTTTTTTCTAGCTGCTAGTGACATCTACACTTAATTTTGCTCTTAATGGATACTTGAAGAAGTTTATCTTTCCTAATCTGTAATCTGTAATATGCACCTAATTAAGTTACTTTCTAATTTTAATAGATTAAAAACTATCCTTTCAGATCATGCATATGAAACAATAATGCTACTTTTTCGCCATCTATCGATCTTAGTTCGAGTTAAGTAGTCCTTTTCCTTCATGAAAGTTTTTATCATTATGAATGTATGGTGCTTATTAAGTATTGTAAAACATTACGTTACATTTTATATATTACAGAATAATGTGATATAGTTCTAGCTCATTTAACATCCAATAATTCCCTCTTAAGCAGATATTGTCAGCACTGTATAAAAAGTAATAAATCAACAGTATAGATATACATAAAGAATAGATAAATTACATTCTACACAGAGAAGAGATACAAACTTCTCATTTATTTAGCATTGTTCCTTTCCGATTGGTAGAATCTATACCCAATGAAGTAATAAATATCTTAAACTCTCATTAAGCATCTGATAAGGATATTTTTAAAAAATATAATTTAAATTGACTTAATCTTAATTACTATATTTTAATGAATATTTCTATTATTTTTATTATAATAATCAGAGTATTGAAATGAATTAGTGAAGCTTTTGTTTAATTTTTCAAGGAACAAAATTATCATCATCAAGCGTTTTTGAGTTAATATTAATAAATTTACATATATTTTTCGGTGAAATATTTGCTTATTCGCAAGATATTCCAACTTCTAAATGCGGAGCATAATCACTTGGACAATTATTGGTTACAGAAGATATAGCATACATAGCCATTGAAGAAAACGTACATTCATTTCCACTACATAGTTCTTGTAGTTCGCTAGTGACATCTGTATGACAGCCAACGTGGGGGGAATCGTGTTTCACACACTCTCCTACACGCATAAGACCCCAGTAGGCTTTATGTATCTTTACTGTTTGTCCCGGAGAGCATTTTTGGGTATGCTGTTGTCCAAAACATATTGACTTGCCATCTATTTTTAAAAATATTAATTAGAGCCGTGACCATAAATGTCTATTTTACTATTTTTATATAAAAATCTATTAAAACTTACTAGTAATAGGTGCAAGAGTGGTAATACCCTGTGTAGTTGGATTATTTGTAGGTTTCATTACACATTCTACACGAGCTTGAAGATATGAAAGTAAATTTACTGGGCAAGGGGTGCTAGTTTTTTGATACAATCTGTGTTGCCAGAAAGAACATTCTTGAGGAGTAGAAGAACAAATATCTCTAACATAATCGGTAACATTCTTTTTACAACCAAGAGAGCCCATATCTTTAGTGACACATTTACCAAGCTCCATTCTTCCCCAAAATGCTTCGTGTATCTTCATCTCATAACCATCTTCACACTTGTAACTGAATTGTTCATTACCGCAAAAACTTTTCAATTCTCCTGCGTCTGCCATCACTTCAGTCGTAATTTCTTGGTTGGTTGTTGTTTCCATTTTAGGAGAGCAAATAGCATCGATATATAAGTGTGAAACAACACTCATTGAACAATTATTGCTCTGTTGATTAATGATCATATAGAAGGGAATAATGTTACACGAAGATGTGTCCGCTCCACATGCATTTTGGATAACTGATGTTACGTCCCTATAGCAAGGCATGAATCCTAAATCATTTTTAATACATTTTCCAAGCTTCATACGTCCATAAAGTGCTTTCTTAATAACAACTTTTTCGTTGTCTTGACAAGTTTTTGTAAAAGCCTCAAAGTTGCAACTCTCTTCAAATCCTTTATTTAAAACAAAACAATTAATTAATCATTACCTCATAAATATTTATAGAAAACATTTTACGTATCTTAAAAGTTATTCGTTTAAAAGACGTAATGCAATGGTTTTGTCTTTAGTTACCCAATAGTATATTGGTATATTATTCTAAAATTATACGTACCATCAATATTTACAGCAGAGTTGGCTGGTGTGCCACTGGGAAGTGTACTAGCTACAGTTGTGGTAGGCATTAAATCCGATTGACAATAGTACGAAACTTCCAAATAACCAATTACACCAGAAGGACAATTAGTTTCTAACGACATAAGATCGATAAGTGACTTGGAGCAGGTTTTCATATTTTCGCAATCTGCTTTAATAACTTCAGTAACATCTGTATAACATCCTACATTATTCTCTAGTTCAGAAATACAATTTCCTCTCCTCATTCTTCCATAATGGGCACGTCTTATTATAATTTTGCTATTTTGTTCACATGAAGGCTCAAACGTTGAACCAAAACAAAATTGTTTAGCGTCTAAAAGAAATGATATAGATTGAATATTAACGTTGCTTAAAATTTGGCTTCCCACCTTGTAGTGGTACATAGTCCGCTTGCCTTTTCGTAGTAGGCTCTTCAGTAGTAGTCCTCACTGCTGTTGTTGTGGTGGGCATTTGGGTAGTTGTCATTTTCACAGTGGTACTAATTGTTGATGGAGGTGTTTCCTTTGGTACATTCACTACACCTCCCTCCACACATTTATATGTTACTTCAAGATAACTCTCGAGGTCTGAAGGGCAATTCGTCTGGCCGTTTAATAAGTTCTTTAGTTTCATTAGTGGAACTGAACATGTCATTCCATTGCCACATAGATAACCAACTTCTCCCTTGACGTCAACATAGCAAGGCATATGGCCATAATTTTTGTCTAAGCATTTACTTAGACGCATTCTTCCGAAATGGGCAAAGGTGATTTTGACTTTATAGCCAGCAGAACAGTATCCTTTGAACTCTTCACTCATACAGTAGGCTCTCGCATCAGCAGGAGCTACGTAACTATTTGTAACTGCAGCCGTCGAAGTGGAAACAGTTGTTGATAATGTTGTTGGTGGCATTGTTACTGTAGAAGTCTTTACAGTCGTGGAAGGTTGGGGTAAAGAGGTGGTAGGTCCTCCAGCAGCACATAAATAAGAAGCCTCCAAGTAAACACTGTATTCAGAAGAACATTTGCTCTGAATAACGTTCTTTATATCTATTCTCAATGTCACGACATCAACAATGCAGATTCTTTTACCATCACATTTTGAAGATAAGCTTGGGTGTACATTATCAAAACAACCAATATAAGCTTGATTTGTGGGAATACAACTGCCAGTTCTCATACGACCCAAGCGGCCTCCTCTCATGATAACTTGCTTACCATAGGGACAAGAAGCTACCAACTTAGTACCCCAACAAGCCTCAACATAATCATTTAATGGTTCATATGTGGAAACTGGCTTAGAGGTTGTTGATATGATGGGAGCCTTTGTTCTCTTTTTAGTATATAAAGAAAAAAACATATATATATATACATATATATATATATACTGTATATAAATTATATGTTTATGGTAAATATAGTAATTTGTAAATTAAGTTTTCAAATAGAAATTAGATAGTCTATAGAGATTCCCCTTACCTCTTTTGTTGTAGTTGACGGTATTGTTGGAGTAGTGGTTGGCATTGTTGAAGGTGTAGATTCTCTGAATATTGGACCACCCTCCATACATTTATGGTGAACTTCCAAATACATAGTAACATCTTTTGGACATCGTGGGTTCTTAACCTTATCTCGAACATCGTCTACTGGAACCTCACAGTGTCTCTTACCATCACATTTTTCACTTAAAAGTTCTGTTACTTCATTAAAACATCCTAGAACACCTAAATCTAAAGATATACATTTTCCAATTCTCATACGACCATAATGAGCTGTTAGAACTTCAATTCTTTCTCCAATAGGGCAAAATACTTTCCATGTTTCTAAAGCACAAACCTGCCTTGCTCCCGCTATAGGTTGGTATGTTTTCGAAGGTTTAGTAGATGGATTTGACGTAGTAGATGATTCCACCTGTGGTGGTTGTGTCATGGGAGAAGTGTGTACTCTATGGCCGACTTCACATTGATATGATATCTCTAAATATGAAGTTAAGTGTTTCGGGCATTCAGCGTCTTTTATTTCATGTATTAAAGTTGAAACTTCTAAATCACATCGCCTTTTGTTCAAACATCTTTGTCTAATTAATGCAGTAATATCTGTATAGCAACCAACAGATCCATTGGATGTTACACAAGATCCTTTTCTCATTCGACCAAAATGAGCGCCCTGTATATAAATCGATTCACCACTTTTGCACTCAATTTTCATAGTTTCATGTGCGCAGAACTTCTGTGCATCTATATTTTGAATTATTTCCTGAAGTTTTCTTTAAAACAACAAATACTAACTTGGCAAAGGCTTATACTGGCTGTTTGGTTTGTCAGGATCTTCTGGTTTTACATTATTCTTCTTGATATTATGAGCTTTACAAACTCTATCAATTAATTTCACGTTCATATTTAAGCTTGACTTTGTTTCATTTAATGCTCCACAAGTTGACATATAGTCATCTCGGCATTTTTCATGAGTCGAAATTAGGCTTTAAAGATAAAAGTCTTGTTTACATATAAAAACATTAAGAATCTAGTCATCTAAAACAAACTTGCAAATTCTCTTCACTTGTTCGTTAATTTTTGAATTGAAATTTTTGATTTCTCCGGTGAGATTATTTAGGCAAGAGAGCGATTTTTCAACTCTTTCAACTGGTTTGCTACAGCCTGAATGATTTATAGAGACATAGATATACATTTTTCTTCTAAATTTTTGACTGATCATGTTTCTTTACCTTCTGAACACATCACTTCAAAATGTTTCAGTTTACTTACTATTCCTCTTGCTATTTCTTCAAAGACTTTGGCCGAATCTAAGTTTCCACAAGCCAAGTTTTTGTCGAGACATCGTAATATTCTTGGACATTGTTGGAGATCACTAATCGTAAATACAAATTTTTAGTGCTTTCCAACTGCTTTAAACTAAATAATTATTTATACATGCATGCTTTTTCAAAGGATATTGATTGAAGAATTTCCATACTTGGTAGACTTCTTCGACCTCGTCCCCAGCCTGAAGAACCTCCCCATCCTCCTCCTCCAGAGCTACTACCACCTCTTCCGCCGCCTCCCCATCCTCCTCCAGAATTACCGCCACCTCTTCCGCCCCCTCCCCATCCTCCTCCAGAATTACCGCCACCTCTTCCGCCCCCTCCCCATCCTCCTCCAGAATTACCACCACCTCTTCCGCCCCCTCCCCATCCTCCTCCACCCCCGCCTTGATTGCCCCACTTATCATTATTTCCTCCAATAGGTCCACCTCGTACGGGCTTGTTTTTGGATTCTCCCTCTTCATCATTTTCTGAAATCTTATATTCTCTTGACACTTCAGGAGCCATTTGTGTTAATTGAGCATATTCATTTTTACATGCTTTTCCAAAGTTTTCAGTAAGTGGTTTGATACATTTAACAGCTTCTTCAGGGTTGCATTTGGGCTGATTGGCTTCACGTGACCTTTTTTTGGGATCGAACATACCTCCGGTTTGTTTCCCTCCTTGATTATTATTCCCACCTGTCATTCCACCCTGTCTACTTCCTCCTTTTGCACCCTTTTTTGAACCACCTCCTTGAGGATTTTCTTTTCTTGTTCCTCCTGAAATGTAGTTAAAAATAAATAATAATAAATTAATCCGTTTTCAGAATATTACTTTCATAAGTATCAGTAACAAAGAGCAAGAGAAGAACAGATAATAAAATAAGTCTCATTTCGCTTTTCAAGCATTGAAGAAAATTTTTGTGAACTCTTTTTTTTATACCTTCACGTAACGTATCATTTTACCATAATTAGCCGGTTAAAAAATAAGACTTAGTTTTTGGATTTATGACGTAGGTAGCCACAAGCAGCTATCGATCGGATATGAAAATTTTAATGCAATGATAAATTTTTTATACGACATATTAAGTTAAATTTTATATAAAAAGCATACAAATAATCACCATTTTGAAGTAGATTCTTAACCTGAAATATGCAGATTATGTTTAACAGAGAGAGACAGACATAATCTAACATACAAAAACTGAAAACAATCCGTATGTAGGATATTAGTTAATAAAGCAACAGAAGCGATTTTAAAAGCCTATAAAACAATATGATGAAGTAAAACGATCTCTGACTATTATAGGTGTACAAAAATATAATGAATAAATAATTTAATGCATTTACATAGTGCGTGTAGGTTTGGTATTGACGGTTGAGATTTACTTGAGTAATCTGAGGAGAAGGAAAATGATGATTATATTAAATTTAATTAATAAATATTTATATTTATCTATAAAATAAATATTAAAGTTAATCCATAGTTTAGTTGAATAACAAAAGAATTATTATGTTTTACCTATAAGAAATTTTGAAGGGAAATCCCTTAAAATTTCCTCAATAATGCAATTTACGAACAGGTACATGAAGCTCTAACCATGGCATAATTCTTTATATTTCATGCTTTTAGCGAAAGACTAAACTTACTCTTATATAGTATAGAATATTCATTTAGAAAGTAATACTTGATATAAATATGGTATACAGTGTCTACTGTATCTATCAAAACGTTTTCTGTACTATTTTTAATAGTATCAATAATAAATATTAATGTATTATTTATTAAATATACTATACAGTAAGATATAAATATTAGTAATAATAATTTTAGGTTAAAGGTTAAGAATAGCTTGCTGATACTCAAAAGAGAACTATAATTGTATTTTTGCCTCATTAGCAGTATTTTATGAATCATTGACAACACTTCCTGTAATATTAAACATAAATAAATCTGAACGATGAAATGTATACTATTGACTTCTACCGAACCGAATATATTGCTTCTTTTCTTTATTATTTCTGCCAAATCTGATATAGGTTTTCTTTGTTTCACCACCTTCATGATCTTTACCAAATCTCATATACATAGCATCATCACGTTTACCAAACCTCATGAATCTCTTACCAAACTTAATAAGCCTCTTTTTGTTAAGGGACCCTAATACTTCGTACAGTCGAAGTATTTCTATAGCACTTTCTAATTCTGGATCTAATTGTTTATTCTCCTCTATATGTTGTTGTTCTCTTTGGTTCATGGATTCCTGGTTTCGGGGTAAGCTCTTCTCTTCATTTATATCTCTTTTTTGCCTAAGTTTCCAATCAATAGGCGATCTTCCAAATCTTATATAACCTCCTTCTCTCTTCTCTCTAACTCTTGGAGCTATATTCTCCTCTGTTATTTAAATATAATACTATTATCAATTTTGTTAAGTTCTATACAAAAGGGATAGGATAGTCATACATATGCTAAGACTGAAAGCATCATATACACCTTAAATATTTAATACAAACTCGATCTACATAATAGCTTGGAATAAAACTATATTTATACTAACCTTCATTATGAATGGTACACAAATATTTTAACAATCCATCTGGAATATTACATAATTCCTCCAAATGTACGTAGTTTATTGCAGCACAAGTAATACAGATAAGAAAGAGTATTTTCATTTCTGAAACAAATATATGGCATTTCTTTATTAATGATGAAAATATTTCTTTAATAAATTAAATAATTAATTTGTTTATATTAGATAAAAAGAAAGCATAGATATTTATACCCGAAAACAATACTTTTCTCGATTTTATCATTAGATTAGGTATTTTATGTGGCAGATTATTTTAATTGGTCTCCTTATGAGAGTAGTTATCATAAGAACAGACTTAGGATGCAATAATCGTAAATATTTATACTGTATCCAACGAATGTCTATTCCATTTATAAAGACGTATTTAGACAATGAAAAATTGAAAGGTCGTTTAGGTATGGAGATATAAATTCAAATTATTCATTATTTTCTGCAAATGATACTGTTATAACATATTTTGGTTATTATAGAGAAATATTAACTAAATGTACATATTGCATGCCAGAAGTGATTCAAATATAATATATAAGTCAAAAGTGACTTTTCTTAAGATTTTTTGATGTTTAGTTATGTCCATAAGAAAGGCTACTGAATCAAAATCTAACAATTTATCAATTATAATAAATTCTATTACTTTCAGCTGAACAGAAATGTTTTACAATGTTAATCCAAATTTGTTTCCCTCTCTGTAAAATTTTATTGTATTTATACAGATTTTGTTCTAAATATTAATGTTACGTAATCCTTCTTTTAACTAACAGCGAAGTTTTATGGTGGAAAAAAAATCTGTATATTGCACACTGCTTAAACATCTTCATAATACCTCTTTAAAATCTCACCCATGTCATAAACCTTACAAAGTAAAGCATTAAAGTTATTAAAGAATTGATTTTTTGGACTATTATCTTTGATGCTATGTTGACAGACTTAGGCTGATTCAAAGGTAGGATATCAAAAACTCGAGCGTAGATTTTACATTTCACCTCAAACTTTTTAAAGGATATTAGTGATATATTAGCTCAAGACTATACAGATATGGTAAACTAGTACAGAAGCAATATTTCATACAGTTTATAACCTAAGTTTCAAATACCTATCTTTTAAACAAATCTATAACTTCCATATTACTACTATACAATCTTATTTTAAGCAAAGACATCAAATATTAATGAAAAAGTAATCAAGCAATGAAATATAGAATTATTAAGGAAATGGAAAATATGCAATTCTATTAAAGATTAGTCTATTGAAAAAACTTAAAAAAAGAGAAAACGTCTATGGACAATTGTTATTAAATATTAAATATGAATTGAATAAATTTGCTTTTTCTTGAAAAGAAACAATAATACAGAACGTTTTTATACGTTTATGTATTATAGTTCATCCTTCTTTTTAATAATATGTATCCATTTTCACAAAACAGCTATCGCTTCTATAAGAACTAGGCGACATGTTTCAATTAAAGTCAAACTTGATTATTTAATATTAAAAAATAAAATGCTTTAATTAAAAATAATCTAAATTGAATTGTTGTCAAAATTACAAACGTATTCTTACCTATAAGGATAAAACTGCTGCTGAACAAAGTTTATACTGATGAAGTTGTAGAAATTCTGATGATATTGTTTCCTCTCCTAGAGGAATAATAATATACATGAAGACTCCGCCCAGTAGCTTTAGCTTAACATCGTCATAGGTTATATTTAACTTAATTTTAAAAGATTACAGAATTCCTTTGTTCAAGGTTATTGTGGGGAACTTGACTTTTATAAAAGATAAATTATTATTAATCTTTCAATACTGTTATTTAAAACCGCTTTATTTTTATTTCTATGTACAGTTTATTTATAATATTAATTAAAAATTCACAAATTTAATTCATACTTTTAAGAAATACAAATAATCATTTATTTGGAAAAAAGATAACATAAACAATCGTCATAGAGGGAAAAATTTCTTTCCCATTTAAATAAATAATGTACTATGTGTATACTATTTATAATTTCTTGATTTGTTCGCTAATTTATTTGTTTCGACTAGTTTTATTGTGTTATTAGTGGTAATTCTGTTTATCAAATCCTTTCCTTAAAGTAATTGTTACTTCAATTTTAAACAACTTTTGGTATTTTAAAGAAAATTATGGTAACTTGGAATGAAGTAAGTTAACAAAAGAGTTCTTTTGTATTCATAGGTTTATCCTTTTTGAGAGGTCGCTTATTGTAATAAAGCCATTGAGCAGTCACTCGTCGTAGACTAGCTGTCGATGTAAGAACGCTTTCGATTCATAAGCAAGGTCGTCTTAAATTAATTCACGTAGAAAGGAAAAGTAATTAACTTCTAATTAGAAGGTTAAAGTCAATTATTTACCCTACTTTTGTTTACTTTAATAATAAAAATGTTATCAACACTTATATAGAATTAAAGCGAAGTTGAGTAAATCTGTAATAGGTATTGTATGATTTACAGCTCTGGGAAAAAGCTGAAAAGGTTAGGAAGAAGTATTTTTGAAAAAAAAAATGCCTTTGATGGTCAATAGCTTATGAATTACAGCATATTTTGAAATGAAATATTCTTTTGTGATATATCTTGTTACCCTTTTAAATAAATTAGGAAATATGATATAAAAGTTATTAATTCTGTTGAAAAATCTGAACGTAACTCATTATTAAATAATACTTTGGAAATTTGAATATTTTATTATTTACTTTTGGTCATTACATGATTAAATATTATAATGTATTTGTATTAATGCTGAGTTATAATTTTAGAATTTATACACTCATCATAATATATATATATATATACTGTATATAAATTAATATGGAATAATATGTATATTTTCTTGTTGTATACACATTTATTAACGAGGAAAGAGTAGCTATTCTCTCGTGCAATCTTATTACGAGGTAACTGTATCAAATGTTACAATTTCTGATTGCGAGGAAAGGTAGTTAGTGGCTTTATAAAATGAGAAGGGCTCTAATGGAGCTAAAGAAGTGTTTAACAACATCAGACAGAGGGCAGCAGTGTGTGGCAGTAGATATTCTTTTAACTGACTGTCGTCATGTGCAATATGACGAAACCGACGGTGTATCCGATTGGACAACTGTGTATATTACCAATTATTCTGACGTTAATCCTCATAGGAAATGGTTGCATCATAGCTATATCAACTATTCGATTGCAGAGTCAATGGTCCGTTCAGGATTGCATTAATAGATTTGTTGCTTTGCTTAGTTTTTCGGATGGTGGGCTGTCAATACCGACTTATTTTGCGTCTTTGGTAACGGGTAATACATAAATAAAAAGATGATTAATGTTCATATTATATATTATTTCTTTTAAATAATAAATAAAACAGGAAAATGGCCGTTTATGGATGTCATTTGTCAAATATATGGAACTTTACATCATGTTTTTGCGACAAGTATGGTTTTACTCTTAGTTATGGGTTGCTGTGAGAGGTTTTTATTATTTATTAATACTTTAAGTGTTCATTTTTTAAAGATAATTTCTTTAAAGCATATTACTTTATTCATTATTAGATATACAAAGATATTATATAATGAAAAGAATAGGGCATATTTTTCGCCCATAAACACTAGAATAATGATGATCGGCTGTTTTATATCTATGTTAATACTCTTTCTTGGACCCATATATGGTTGGGCAGAATATTCAGAATACAGAGGTAAGTTAAAGCAATAGAACTCCGCTATTTGTCTATTATTATTATGATTTATACGTCATGTTTTGCTTATCGTCTTCATATGCCCTTAATTTTAACGTCGAAGGCTTTCAGGCGTCACGTTACATTTTATGTCGTCCTTTTGGCAGTAGTATAGATTATTTATTCGACTTTTTATTATAGAAGAATATTTATGAATCTTTACGATAGTATCACGTGTAAATCCTAATTACTTGAGGGAAGTACATTAGTATTAAAGTATAATGATGAGTACGACAGCTAATAACCCCTAACGTTGCAGTATAGCCTTAATTTTCTCTTGAGAGCTGCTTTAATTGGTATAGGAAACGTTGAGAACAAATTTGTACTCTTTTTTATTAAAATAGACTAGATCTAATAGCAAGAATTCGTAAGTGTAGATTTACTGATAATCATATTGAAGTTATATAAAATATTTTCGCTATAAATTATGTAAGCATAGAAGAAATGAAGAGAGAAAGAGAGAAAGAGACAGGGTGGGAGAGAAAAGAAAGCCGGTAGAAAGAAAATGAAAAGAAAAGAAGAAAATGTAAAAGTGGAATGTTCTTGGATAGAAATGTTAATTGTAAAGAAGGAATAATTTAATAGAAAGATAAAAGAGAGGAAAGTTTTGCGAATTTTATATAAAAGGAGAATGAAAGACTGTTTTTTTTCAGAATTAGATCTAAAAAGAATCACAAACAACTTCCCTTTTTTTTCATTTAAAACCTAAAACAGGTGATATAATCAAATATCTCAGCCGGTTTCCTTGTTTATGAGAAAGCTATATTGATTTATGGCACCATTAGGTAGCTCATTTAAGTTATAATAATCGAACAATGTTTGGTAAGCCTTAGAACAGTTATCTTAAGTAAATTAAGCATTCTCCACTGAAAATGTAGAACTGTCTTTAAGATTTTTGTTTTAGTTTGGCGCATAGGAATTTCAATAGACATATTTGAAAATAAATATACTTAAGATAAGCTTGATCAGTAGCAGAGGACAGAGCAAAATGGGCAACAATATCTCTTTGTAATCTCGGTACATTATTAGGTTTTGTATCTTGTGCCTATAATTTTACCAAAGTTAAATATATATTAATAAAAAAAGACCATATCTTAAAATAGGGTTATTTTTTACTAAAAATATGATAACAAGCTCTTTTTCCCCATAGAGTCGGAATCAAAGTCAACTTAATGTTAGCTCAACCATTTTCCCCATTTTCCTTTTTATAAAGTGCACAATTTCCTTTTTAGTACAGTAAAACTCTTATTAAAAATTTGATTATCATCTAACAGGGTCTCTAAGCTTATTCTTAAAAACAAATGCAACAAATGTGGATATCGATGATGTTGTCAAAATTTCCAAACAACTACGAAATCAATACGAATTAACTATTCGTAAGCCTATAACTAGTCAACCAATTATAGAAATGGCTCTTCCTTTACGATTGAGAAATAAAGAGAGATTGGAATGTTTTTTAGAGGAATACGAAGGACGACTCTTAACGGCTTTTGTAAATGACGTCTTTACGGCAAATACAACTTTTGAAGCTAATAAATCTAGTCAAAATTTAATTGATGTTCTATTAGATGACAAACAAATTCAAGATTACCGTGATCTTTTAATCTGGCAATGTAGGTATATAAGTAAGAAAAAAATTACTTTATTCTTTGATGAATAGAATAGTTTCAAATTTGTTTAGTTTCGCCAATAATGACTTTTTTAATACTTTTACAGATTGGTCTAGCTGTGATCTTGATTATAGTCTCCTGACTGCAGAATCGACATCTTTCTTCCTCATCATCTTAATAACAACTCAAATTCTTCCTCTGCTGCTTATTATATACTGTTTAACAAAAATTCAATTAAGAGGTTTTTCCTTTCTTAAAATGCAATTGACAAAAAAACAATTTCTAGCTGCTTTTATCTGTTTGGTTTTCACATCGACTGCATCAATTGTAAATATGATTTTAAGGTACTACAAACGAAATCATTTGTTAGCTTTCTTGAGTAAGGCTCTGTCTTTTATGGCAGACTCTTCTCTACCATTGGCTTACGTTGTCTCTGTAATTATTAATCCTAAACGCTCCTATCAAGAGGCTAATAGAAGGAATTTTAGGGAAGATGAGATTAAATGTTGTGATGATGAGGATGAGCCATATCAGTCACAAATTACTAGAGTATAAAAGTTCCTCTTTTCAGAAGTAAATAAGAAAATCGTCTGATATTTAAAAAATATTTAATTGCTGATAAAGCAAAAACAACTTCTTATCCTTTAACTTTCTTATTGTTAAATTATCATATTCGTTGAATTATACAATATTTTACAAAGCATTAAAGATAAATAGATATGTAAACTGTTCCTTTAGAAATGTTTCGTCTTTTCTCTTTTAGGAAAAACGTAAAAAGAGATTTTTAATAAAAAATCTCTTAAATTTAAAGTGAATCGTTTGCGGTTAAGTCCTGTCTTCTGTTTAAATTATTATTTGTTAATATAAAGAATTTAGCCTATTTAATAAAATTTTCCAGTTAAGAATAAACTAAAAGTAAACGCTAAGATATATTTTTGAGAGCCTTATAATAAGTTTTATTTGAGAAAGGCAATTTTTTTTACTACAATCTCAGTGGAAAATTCTTTTTTTAACATTTTTTTTCGGTTCACTGACTAAGTATTCAAACTGTTTCCTTTAGCATTAAAACTAATGATTAAGGAACGTGTTATTATTGATCTAAGATAATGAATAAGAGCTGATTGAAATTTTTTTAAATTGAGAGATAAATTTTAAATATTAATTATAAATTTAATTAGCTAAGTCTAATATATTCATAACTGTAATATCTTTTATTATGAATAGAGTACAAACCTTTTTTAAATGCTTATATAGGTATTTCATTTGCTATTAAATATTCTAGATTTCTTTTAGTATGTTTATATACATTATAAACAATGATCAATAATTGGCCTATGAAATATTACTTACGTTTCACATATATTTTATATATACTGTATATAGTAAATAAATATCTCTAGTTTTATAATAAATAATCAATCTATAATAATATAGTAACTATATTTTATTTACCTGATATCTTCTTAATTAATTGTTATAGCATCTCTGTTTCTACCGTAAAAATGACGACTTTTTGAGCATTTTTCATCAGTTATGCAAGTTTGATATAAATATTAACGTTGGAGAAATATTTTAACCAATAAACGAAGTAGAAAATTGAAGAATTTCGAACAATAATTCTAAGAAATACTTTTAAAGTTTTATGTTTGTTTTGAGTATGAATATCTTGTTTGAAATTACAAACACGTTAACTCAAGTTATTATTTGTAATTCCATTAGCTGTAGCACATCCATATTATAAATATATCCTTTTATAGTTTCTTCTGTTTTGAGGATTACTGTTTAAGCTCACAAAACCTATTTATAAACACCTATATTTGTTCTCTTAGGACGAAGGTGAGAAAATAGAAAGATTTCATCTTCCAAATTTGTTAAAATCATACTCAATTGGTATGATACAGGAAAGTAGCTTCTATTTATGACAGGTGGAAATTATTGTAAGAACTATCGTCTTTATTCTTTTTACGGTTGTCAAATTTTCATTTATCACTATATTAATCAATCTTTTTATGAAATCACTATGAATAATCATTCTGATTATTTAATGAACGAATATTTCAACACGAAATGGGTTTAATTTGGCGATTTATACAACAGGAGATAAAAAAGAGCTTTTAGAAATTTATCTTCTTTACGATAGTCTTGTTTCATATACAAAATAATCATCTCAAGAAATATCACCAGCTTTTCAAGTCAATTACTTATTATATTTTATACCGTTTAGAAATCTTTCTATAATTCTGATGAGAATAGAAAAAACGATCTTGCAAAAGATGTATTCATTATGAAGAATCAACTTTTATCTATTCATACGAATTAAATACAATGCTATATCTTAGTTGGAAAATCAAAAAGAACGAATTACTAAAGAGTTGAAATAATGTACCTTAAAACAATATAAGAATATATAAGATATAGATTTTGAAAAGGAGCTAGAGGTAATAAGTATTTTACTTTTATGTTCAGGTAGGTGCAAAAATTTTCAATAAATTTTCATTTTCTTTCTACAATAGTCGTTTTGTAAAAATGATATAAGTATACTATTATTGATGGAATGAAAGAAGCAAATATAAAAAATGTTTATAATATTTAAGTCCAACTGGAATCTAACAGTAAAGGCTCATTGCCTTTTCCTCGCTACCAAAATCATATATTACGTAACCCTTCTTTTAACTGATATATAGATAATTCTTTTTTGCAGTTACACAAGTATTGTTTTGTTGAAACTACAAAAATACAACTTTAATCAAATAAGAAGTAATGGAAAATGAGCTTATTTTTTAAGTTACTATTCTTAACAAGTAATGTGAAACCTCCAGGCTATTTTTTGTCTTTCCAGAAGGGAGAAATGAGCACATTAAGAAATGTTATTTTTCCCTATATACTTACTAATTTTATAAGCTGAAAGCTTTAAAAAAATTTACCACTGTAAACTAGAAAATGACAAAATATGTACAAATTTATAAAAGAACACAAAACAGATCTGTTTCTCTAAGAAATATACCATAAAATTAACTATAAAATGTAAATTACTTTGATAAATGTCTCTTTAGGTCAACTACTTTTATAAGATGAAAAAAAAACTATTGAATAAAATATATTAGTGTAATTGATGATATTCTCATTTTAAGCATTAATTTTATTATTTTAAAATTTAGTTAAGAGCTGAGAATTAACTTTAAAACGTCATCTAATATTTTACAACATGGATATTATTTCTTAAAACAAAGTAGAGCTAATTAAATTCAGTTTATAAAATGTTCTTAGAAATTTTAGTTTTCAACAATAATGACTAAATTACCAACTCTATTTTATGATAAAATGGTAAATAGGACGCTTATTATAAAGCTTAAATAATATTTTTCTTTTATACTTCTCAAAAAAGAGTCTAAATCAACGGAATTTAAAACAAATATCATGTAAACTGCAACGGAAATACTAAATAAAAGATTTCCTTCTAATATTAATATTTAAAAAGTAATAATTGTGTTTTTAACAAGGATATCATGGAACTAATGTTACAAATAGTTTAATTTTGGTAAAACTTTTGTTATAAATTTAAATGTGAAGCTATTTTTATAATGCTACTTGTAGAACTAGATGTTTCTCCGTAACAATGAGATACTATATCACTTTTTAATTATCAATATTAGACGTTATCCAGCTCCTCTTTCCTAAAAACATTCTAAATGCTGGTCTATAGACAATATTAAAATGGTATATATAGCATAATAGCAAACACAAAACATTATTTTCATTATGTTATACATGTATTATAAAAACGTACCTATTGTTGAACCAATTTCTAACTATAATGATATTATATAGCATATCACTTAATTATCAAAGAAAACTGCCATGAATTATCTCTTCATAGTTTAATATATTTTAAATGGAACTAGGAAACAAAGAGCACAGGATATTACACATTAAAGAAGTCATTTTGTCATTCTGAAACTCAGGCTAAGTAAGTAACTAACTTTAAATAAATTATGAAACTGAGGCACATGAAGAGATCCGGGAATAATGATTATGACAGATCTAATGGATAAGTTACCTTCTATAGCTAAATATTATTATCTTAATAAAAATGTAGGATTTTTGGTTAAAAAACCCTAATATCCGGTTAAGTTTTTGATCCTCTTAGATATTGATTTTTTTCCTGTAGTGTACAAATGGAAAATTCATAAAAGGGAAAAAAAGACACATTATTCACTGCTTATAATATAAAATAGTGTATCTTAAGAAGGAGGATTAAAGAAATTTAAGTTTATTATGACATTCAATTTCAATCAAATATCAAAATAGCTCAAATTTACAGAGAGAATCTGCAAGATATAATAAAAGATTAACTTTATTCTTTTAATTATATTTTTTTAATTTTAATTAAAATAAAGACGAAATTAATTAAATGACGAATTTTTTTAACTCTAAAAACCATCAAAAGTATTTAACTTAAGAAGCTGAAATGTCACATGGACGCTATGATTTGGGTTTTAACTTTCAGATAATTGTTTCAAATTTCGCTATCCGCACTGGAAGAGCTGTTGATATTTTTTTATTAATTTAGAGAAAAATTATACTTTATATAAAGAAATGATAAATATTCAATTTACTAATAAATTACTCCTAGATTGAAGAAAAGAACTGAGAGGTATAATATCATATCACGATGGATATTTCCCTTTTCACATTCTTTTATATATTTCACTTAGAGAAAAAAGATGAAAGCTCTCTCTATATATAAAGCATATATACACTGTATAAGAATATATTTAGTATAAGAAAAGCTCAAAATATGAATAAGGTTTAGACATATCTAGAAAAATAGTCTCTGCCAAACAAAAAGAGAGTTCTAACTATAAATAAGACTTTTCATATAAATATAGTGTATTCTATAAATAATTATTAAAAATTTGAATGAATAGTTCTTCGGAGTTTTTTAAAGTGTAAATATGACTTGATAAATTCGATGGTAATTGAAAGCAATGCAAGTCCGAATCCTATCGCAATTATGTAAAAAGATCCAGAATATGTTGCAAGATCTATTGCATTAGATTCTGTCGAATCAGAATCTTTGCAGCTAGGATTCTGCGTTAAATTATATGTCCTGAGCCATTTTTCATTTAATCCCGGCTCCAAACTGATTTCTAGCAATATCTTGTTAAAAAGATTTTGATAGCCCCACCCTTTTTGAACAGCAAATGTGACACCGTTTGGAAGAAAGTCATACTTTTCGTCGGTTGTTGTTAATTCACAATCTAGATGAGATACTAAATTAACAACGGATCTAGTACTGATATATCCGGTATTTTCTTGCTTAGCTTTTTCTATACCAGTTTTTAGATCAGGTACAATATTTTCTTGCGGATCTTGGATTATTTTCTCCCATGCTTTTTTGAATACTCCCGAATCTGCTGTTTTGAATATTGTCTCATGGCCAGAATTTCCTAAAATAATTAATTTAAAATCTTTATTTGAGACAGCATCCTCAAGATTATTGACAGGTAACTTGTACTTTCTAACGCTCATAATAGCTACTAAATTTCCAGTATAAATAGCCGTAATCATGATCCAAGTCAACCACATAGATCCTACTAAAGCTCTTACGGATGTCTTTCCAACAGATGGTAATATTCCGCCTTGATTAATAGCCGCTCCAAATGCATACCAAAAGCAGTGTCTAAAAAGAGAATAGTCTTCGTCAAAAGATTTGACGCGTAGACCAAATCCTTCTTCTTTTAAGTTGTATTTCGAGAAAAATAATAAAGCTACAAAGCTTAGCGTAACCGAAGATATAAAACACATCCATACTTCAATTTTAAAAGTCTGTGTGAAAAATACACTGGACAATAATTGAGGATTTGGCCTTTTCATTAAAATTGTCAGGGCTTCTGTTTGAGTAACTGAGAGAAAATCTACGGCTTTCAGTCTCTGAGCCGTAACAGTAAAAGCTCCAACTCCAATATCAGCTTCCTAATATATTTCAGTTTTCAATTAAAATAATATTTTAAACAATTAATTAGGATTTATCACAAAGAAACAAGAAACAGAAACTTTCTAAAGATTAATCCCATCAAGCTAGGAGGTCGTTTTCTCTTTTAAAATATAAAAGAATATTTATAGATTTATAACAATATAACAAGCTAAATGTTTGATCGTTAAAGATTTTTTTAGAAAGTATAATAACCCAATTAATCTATATTCTACATTTTAACCTTTAATTGAACATTACACCGGAATCTTAACGATATTTATTAAATATAATTACCTTTCTATAAATCATACCCATGGCTCCATTATAAGTTCCGTTAATTAAAGTTCCGATAGCTGCTTCTTTAGGTTCAATTATTCTATACCTATTAAGGAAAATTAATTAATAAACATATTGTTTGGTACAGCATATTCAATAATTAAAAGAGGAAAACGATAAAAACCTGAATTTTAGTCTTTCAGCTAACATATTAAAAATATTAAAAAATATTCCAACATAAAACACCTTTCCCTTTCTAACAATTCTAAATTGTAGGAAATCCAACTGCAATTCAGTCAAATGATTGTTATTATTTGGCAATTTCCGCTAAAAATTTATCTTACTGGAGTAGCAACAATTGTGAATTCTCGCCCGTAAAAACCATGAAAAGGGAGAAAAAATGGAGCATTTTTTCGTATCTATTTTAGGTTAAAGTCATAAATAATACAATACGATAAAACTAAGAGTATCAAATTAACTTTATCTCTTGTAAAATGACCAATTAATCTAAAGTTTCCAACGAACCATTGATAGTATTCTATGATACCGTTATTTTCAATAAGTAATAAAATACTATCACCTGGGTATAGTAAGTTAGTAAAGGCCTTCTCAATTTCTTTAAAATCATAATTTTCCATGTAAATTAGCCAATTAAATAATGGGCCAAGTATTTTTAATTTACGACTCTTTTAGATAGAAAGTTTTATAAATATTCAATAAAGCACTATTTATTCTGAACTACCTTTAACAAGGTGTCTTTTACATAATTAAGACTAGAAGTATATATAACATATTCATACATTTCCGGATTGGAAGACCATTCGTTTAACCATTGACCATTGCTAAAAATAGCTGTCTTTCCAATTTTGTTTGTACGTTCAATTAAATCATTCTCAAGAAATGTATTATTGCCAAAAAAAACAACTTTATTAGCTTTTGTCGTCTTAAGAGCAGATATCATTGAGGACGTTATTAACGAAAGCCTGAAACTTCGCTTTCTTCCTTCTTCCATTTCTCTATGTAAATGTATGTCGGAGAGTGACAGTGCTAAAAATGATAAAGGTAATAAAAGAGAGAAAAAAGTTATATAACGATATTATTTTACATTCTTAAAAAGAATATTACCGTATTTGATAGAAATGAGAAATATGATCAAATTCATTACAGAGTAGGGCATTCTTCTTCCTACTTGATAGTTAATGTATTGAGTTAAAATGTGGTTTTCTTATATTACTGGTTAAAACACATGATTCCGCGTCAATAAAAAAAGGACTATTGATAAACTGAGATACTTATTGACGATTGTTCGCGTACTGTTTAGACTATAAAATAAAAAAATTTGTTGTTTGAACTTCAATCTATAAAAATATTTTATAAAGTAATAAGAAATATTACCTAAGGCAATCGCATTTTGCTATATTTATATATATGTATACTAGATACTAAATTTATATTGATAAATAATAGGGTTATAAATAGGTAGTACTTATCTTTGATCACTTCTAGCATTCTTTTCTCTTTGTGATGAAAATATATTAAAAGAGTCATAATAAAACTATAGGGTATAAATTTATTCCGAATACAAGACTCAACAAAGATACTAATTAATCTATTTCACTTGTCAGGGCATTTTATTAATTTGTATTTCATAGCAATCAATTGAAATCTTCTATATCTAAAAAGAATGTATTTTGTGCTAAAAGAACGATATGAAGTAAAACTTCATAATCATATTTCTAAAAATACTTGTATTATTTATTACACTGTATTGCTTATTATTAGATGTATTAATTTTCATGTGATTTACATGTAGCTTCTGTTAAAAATAAATCAACCTCTCATTTTCAATTTGACTTTTTAATCAGAATATATTACAATAAACTTGAAAAAGAAAATTTATTAAACTTGAAGTAGTTTGCCATTTAGCATTATGAGGTAAACAAGTATATTAATTATATCTCCTTCGACACACTTTTAATAGCTCTGAAAAAAATCTATAATTAATCCTTCTAGATGAAGAGCGAAACAATTAGAAGCCGAGAAATTTAGACAGATGTCTAGCTAGTTTGTAAATAATATAGATTAAAAAAATTACCTTGATTGGTTGCTGATTTTCAGGGTCGGTGGAGTAATTTACTGAAGGATAATAAATTAGGATAGAAATCTCCCAGATCTCTGAATTTGTTCTTACCAAAAGTTTATTTTTGACTAGTTTAGATGACTTATATAAATAAAGTATACAATATATAAAAAAATATAGTAGACTGCATATATTTTATAATATTAGCATACAATCTTTTATCATTTCCTACTGTCTGTAACAATAAAGTTAACTTTAAGAAACATTTACTGAAAATATACACATTTATTTCTCTTAAGTTAAGACTGCTCAGAGAATGACATTTATCTAAAAGGTGTTATTTTTTCTTGTTTAATCACAATAATTAAGGTCAAACTCATTTTTAAATATTACATGCACACCTAATTTTATATAGCTTTTACAATGTTATAAAGGAATAATATATAAATGATATAAAACTGTCCCCTATCTAGTTCTTTTTGAGAAGCCTTAAGACTAAAGAAATATTGTTTCTTTGAAAACTTTTATCCTCTTATAACTCAATCATTTCATTGATATATTGACATGTTAAATGTATTTAATTGAATTGAGTAAACGATTGTTAGGCTGCGACGCAATTTCTAATATGTAAATATTAATGGATATATATATATATATATATATATAAGGAGTCCTCTATCTATTCCCTTTACGAAGCGTCTGACTATAAAGCAATATTATTTCTTGGAAAATTTCAGCATTTTTTGTGATTTAATCGATCTATTGATATATTGACATGTTTAAAGTATTTGACTGAATTGCAATAAGTAAATATTTATTAAGTTTTCAGTTAGGATTTTATCAAAATTCGAAAGGCAAAAATCGTTAGAGTAACTAGAGAGAAACTTTTGACATTAATATTCATATTTCTCGTCTGTGTCTACGAAGAATTTTATACTGCTACGTTCACATCATTCTTTAAGTAGATTGTTATATACAAATAAATTTCTTTTTCTTACAGATCTCTATACTTCTCCAATTTGTCTGCGAAGACTATAGAAGTTCTATTTTAGTTATATCCTGTCTTTCATTTAGTCCTTCTAGATATCATCTTTGAACCTATCTTCTATTTTCTGCACCATCTGCATAAAAGTAATTTTACTACATGTAGTATCATATGTAGTATTACACTTTACAGCATCAATAATTATATTTAAATCAAGAGTAACAATATTCTGAAGTGTCATTTACGAGTTCACTAAGTTAAAAGTAAAAAATTGTTCAAACAAATGAGACTTTTTCCTCCCTATATAAATAGGTTAAGTACTGAGCGACCTTAAAATTTCTTTTCTTCCCTTCCTCTTCACATCTCTTTTTTCTGTGCTTTCTCTATTCTTCTCTACGCTCATGTTAATATAATAGAAAATGAAAAACCGAAATATTCGTTTCCCACATTCTTTTATACAATTATTATGGCTGAAAACTCGAATTTATTTGTTTTTTTTGTTTAAATGTCTAATAGATAATTGTTTTTAGCGTTATTTGTAGAAATATAAATATGTTTTTATTACTTTAAAACTATATTAACTTGCTTTTTTTCTCAAATTAAGCGTTTAAGTATATTTTACAACATTGATTAATATTTGTTCTTTTAAATTTTCTTAATTTCATGAAATTTTTTTCATTCATTCATTCAAAGCAATAAATAAAGCATACTTTTGTAAGTAATTTATACATATATATATACTGTATATATATATACAGTACATATATATATATTTCTTCCACGATTCAAAACTAAACTATTGTACTTGTATGAGAATAGCATTTGTTAATTCGATAGAATTGATTTGTTCATTCGATATGAGAATTAAAAATTAATGAACATAAAAAATCAGATGATTATGCTTTAGAGTTTATTGATATTTCTGGGTTGCTTAAATATTATATTCAAAATATGAAATATATTATAATGAAATTACATCATTCAACCAAATATAATTTCTTTCTTGATATGATTTGAATATAAAATTCTATATTATGGATAATAGAATCAAATATTTACAGAGTCAGCAAATTTTTAAGAGTTACTAGAATATACATATGATGATAAGAAGAAGAGATTAATTGATACTGATAGGATATTCATACGATTGTCACATAAAATAGATAAACATAAATATATCAAGTAATTCTATAAAATATACGAAATTCGATAAATCTGTGTAATGTTGTCCTAACTTGACTGATTTTTGATAAAGAAAGATTTTCCCAAGAGCCATTTCTTTATCATTTGCGCTTGAGGATACTCCGCAGTAAACATATACATCTTTTCGTAAACAAATTTAATAAAGAAAATAAATATTTCTCCTTTTCTAATCTTATTATAACTGTAGAGAAATTTTAGATTTAAAATGTCACATTTTTGTTTACGTCATAGTTGTTTACAAAGTAACTAGGTTTTCTTTGTTTGCAACATTTTTTGTCATAAAATTAATTCTCTTTTTACGTAAGCTGCTTCGATTATTTCATTTACTGAAAATAGTAATTGTATTAACGACTTGGATATATTATCCAAGTACAATGATCATATAACTAAAGACGTTTACATATATATATATATACATTATATATTAGTATGTATGAACGTTGTAGTAAGAACATTATTCCAGTTTAAAATTCTATAATTAAAAAGTTATCTAAATAAAAGACAGTTAATTAATGCATAAGCTTGTTTAAAGTCTTTTTTATCCTTAAGCTGCTTAATCTCGCATCGTACTCGTGAGCCCAGCATTCAATGGATATCTTTTGAAGCTTTTTACCTAGAAGCTAAATTTTTTAACTTTATAGCAAGTGATATATTTATATATACTGTATATATATATAAGTATATGTATACAATAAAACTGGAATAAACAAAAAATAAATGGTTTCTTACCATTTCTGTCTCCTCGCAATCGCTAAATACTGGTCTGCATCTATTCTGGCATACAATTTGACGAATTTTGCCAATGCTCGTGTCGTGAGATATATTTTCGTAATAAGCAAGATTATACGTTTTAGAACTGTTTTTGACAAGTTCCCATCTGTGATAAATTTCCCAAAGAAACAATCCGAATGCGTAAACGTCACTCTTCTTGTAACAGTCAAAATTTGACGATTCTAGTGTACCGTCTAGAATTTCAGGTGAAAGATATCGTTTTGTTCCAGCCTATATAAGAAATATTACAATAGTATAGTATATGATCTAATAGGAAATTGCAATATATATTTTTTTTTAGAAATTTAATAGTTTCATTCTTTTGAACTGATAAGATAAGCATCTTATGATTGAAAGTAAAATTAGGTCATTATCATTTTGATTTACTTTTTAACGTATAATAAAATATCTAAATATATATATATATATACAGTATATATATATATATATATATATATATATGAGTATAGTTGGGAACTTACAATCAATTTAGGTAAATTTCCCAAATTAATCATCTTTGTATCGCTATAATAAAGTACTGACACCCCAAAATCAGCTATACAGCAACGTAAATCATCTTTTATTAATACATTATTACTTTTGAAATCGCGATGAGCTAAAGCAGGTTTTCTTTCTTTTCCGAAAATTTCAGTGTGTAAGTAAGCCAAGCCAGCAGCAGCTGACTGTATTATTCGAAGTAAATCTGTAGTTGATATTTTTCTTTCTTGTAAATAATCAAAAACAGAACCATTCGAGTGATACTGAGTTATCAACCAAAACTGTGTTAGGCTATGTCTTGATGTAATATCTGAAGCTAAATAAGCAAGTATCGTTTCGTGACGTGGAAGAACCTATTATAAGTGTTTATTGCTGTAAAATGTAAACAAGTAATTTTTTCTTATATTAGGGATACCGTATTATATATCTGACATTCTCTATTCCACGATTTTTCATTTAGGGAATAAAATATCTTAATAGCCACGTCATCTCCGTGTAAAGAACCTTTCCATACTTCTCCAAATTTTCCCCTACCGATTGTGTGTGATAATCGTATCTCATTAGCGACGGTTCTATGCATAAGGTATGGCAGACCCATTCCGCTACCGCTAGTTAGGTTTATATCACATTGTTCCTTTTGTAAAAATAAATATGAATAATAATATACTGTACACACATATATACATACATAAGAAGAACAGTATATTAACATTTAGGTTAAATGAAATGAAAGACAATAAACTCTAGTAATATTGTGAATATAATGAGGGAGGTTCAGTTATGCGTTTTTTCTTTTAAATTACACAGAAAATCCAAAAGTATGATAATGAAAGAAATTACGTGCTACAGTTATTTTCGTAATAATCTAAAGTACTCGCCTCTTCATTTATATTGGTAGAACTACATCTGAATTTATAAATAACATAGTACGAAAAGATAGCAAGGGCGATCAATAAACCAACTATAATAGGAATTACAAAAGCCAGAACACTTGTATCAACTTTTTTAAGAGTTGAAGTGGTCTCCGCATAGCTGTATCCAAAATTCTTATTGCAGAAATTCGAATTGCAGCAGGTTATTTTAAAATAATCGGTTGGGGGGACTGTACATTGAATTTGATTAAAACCAGCCAAACAACCTTGTTTTTCAATCGAACTTTTCGGTTCTTTAAGAATCGATGAGTAGCACTGCAATTATTGCATCACAAAAAAAAAGATAAAAAATAAACTTCACGGCTGTAAAAGTTATTTTATAAACTCTAAAATTTAAAAACATACAGTTAATCCTTCGCAAAAGGAATATTTTCCAACAGTATTTGTACATTCAGTTGCTGGTTTGCAATTACATCGAATAGATTGATTTTCAAACATTTCATTACAAGCTCTAGATCCAAAATGGGCTAGAAAAACACTTGACTCGACACAATTATTAAGAGCATACAAAACAGAGCAAGATACGGCTTATCTGATAAAAATATCAAATTGCTTGGTTTGGTCTGCGTCAAACGTAAAAAAAACCTTGTTAATTTTTTTTTCTATTTAAATACATATTAATTAACTTTATATAAAGATACTATTGTTAAATTTAATGAAATATATATTCTAGGATAGAATGTAAACAAGATAAACTAATTAAAAGTGATAATGAAAGGATAGAGGAAAAAAGTCGGAATTTTTTTTTCCTTCCCAGAAGTGTATTGATAGAAATAAAAGTTGACATTATTCGAATAGACTTCTTTTTCATTCTTCTTTTTACAGTTACATAAAAAAAGTTTATAAATTATATTTATTTTTCAATATAGTATCGATTGAAAATCTTACGCATGATTATCGCACTGCATACCTATCCATAGAAAAAAATACAATACGATATAATGAATTTAATCTATTACACAACAACACCATCTTCCTTGTCTTCTGTTTGTTGACAGGATACCATGTGCTTTTTAGCATTTCTTGTGTTTAAAGAATCTCCTATACTACATGTTAGGTAAGGATAACACAAACACCTAACGCCGTCTATTGTTCTCCTACCACACGGTAGGAAAAATAATTTGACAAAAGTTTGCCGAAATAATTTTGAGCAAGCGCAATATATAATAAAGTTTACAGCACTATTTACTGCTAATAGCAAATCAGTATACTCTCTTATTCCTTTTCCTAAATTATCTTCTTCTGCGTAACCAATTTCAAAAATTGTTGACATCAGAGCGTCCGGCGTAATACATATGAGAAAAACAATAATAACAGTAATCAGCATTACAGTTACTCTATTCCGTGATACTTGTTTTTTGCCTTTCACTCTTTGCTTTCTTAGTGCACTTATTATTAATGCATTTAAAACAATTAGTACAGTCAATGGTATAAGAGATCTCAGAGCATTTTGTATCCACATATATACAGTCATGAAATCTCCATTTTCACCGAGGCTTGTTAAAGCAATTTTATATCGTGTTTGATTCAATTTTTTATCAGTTTGTATCTCTTTTTTGTAGCGTAAAGCACTAGGAATGGCTAATATGCTCATAGTTAGAAAGACTAGAACTGAAATGATCTTTGCTCTTCTTACTGTGCACCAAATTTTCGCTTTGGTCGCCTTGATTTGGTCGTAGATGAAATATTATAAAATTGATTGTTTTTAATTTCATGACTAATTAGATAAGCAGTAATTGATTTCTAAAAAGGATATTATTCTTAGGTATATACTGTATATATACAAAAGTACTGTACGTATTTAAGTAAATATATACAGTATATACTGTATATACTGTATATATATATAGTAATACATATATGGTATATAAAAGTATATAACTTAGCCAAGCTTTCTATATTTATTAATTTATACGCAAAATTAGTCAGTAATTACTCAAGCCTATTAGTAAGGTTTTTCTCGTTGTCTGTAAAAGCAATTGTAGATATCATCGCTTTCGCTTTCTGCTTGCAACTCTGAGTTCTTTGAAAAAGCTTAAGTATCAATCTACTATATGTTTTGACTTTTAACTATAAACTTTTAACTCTTCTTATATAATATTTCATCTGTACCTTGCATATAAAAATATATCTTTCAGCAGCAACTGAGACAGTTAACCATGCACAAACGCATACTGATTCATTGAAAATGTAATGAGATATTGGATATATATAGCCCATCATGGTGTTCGCTTGGGTCGGATTAGTCCTGATAAGAATAAGATTTATCCAATATAATGTATCATTAAATAATTTAATAAGATCTGCTATTGACAAGGCGGACAGAAAGGTATTGGTAGATGTAATCATATTTTTGTTGCTCAGAACAATGAGAGTTAGAATGTTTCCACTGATACCAAATATGCAAATTGTCGGAAGGAGAATGAGACCAGTTACAAATTGAGCAGTTTCATAGAAAGATTCATAGTTTGATATATTTTTTGCAGTTGTAAGCTGAGGGAAAAGAAGAATCATTAGAAACTAATTTAATTTCTATCCTACACAATAATTCCTAAAAGAAATTATTCAATTTATATTGGCTATAACAATTTTCACTATTTTGCTAACGCTTCAAGGTTCCATTTAAAGTGCAGTAAATTTAACACCGAAGTAATACTATTTATTTTTACCGAATGAGAAATGATACATAAATAGTATAAATGACTTTTTTCTCTCATTTAATGCCACTTTGAGAAGTAAAAATTATAGAAAATTTATCATTCAAATTGACTTAAATACCGAGATAGCATCAAACTTTGAGATCATATAGATAATAGTGTATATCCTGAAGTCAAATTGGAATACGTTCTTGGCATACATTTCCTTGGAAAGAAATTAATGGGGGAAGAAAGACATTGAGTGTTCTTATCGAAAGCTCTGAAAAGCAGTACATTAGATTCTTTAACGCTTGTGCTTAAAAATGGAATCGGTATACTGTCGTAAGACCAAGATAAAAAAAAGCTTTTAGCATGGTGTCATTCAATAATTAATATAAGGAGATGCTAATATATTGTCTTTTTAATAAGAAACAAACTGTAATTCTTAGATTAGTTTACAGATTAAGATTCTTAGATTACCGACTTTTATTAATATAAAAAACTGAGATTAGTGGAAATGAGGAATACAAAAATTAGTAGAAGAGGAGTAAAGCCGAGAAATCCGAAAAAAAAATAAACAAATACTTTTTGCTACTTTTAGAAAAAAACTTCAGAATATTAAATTAATTGGCTGAAGCTTCAATTTAGACTTTTGTGTTTGTTATTTTTTCTCAATTTGTTTCAATTGAATATAAAAGTTGTAGAAAGAACTCTCCAACTACTACATAAACGTTATTAGAATTCTTACAGTTTTTTTTTGTTCCAACAGCCTAGATTAAATCTTTTCAAAACAACTAAAGTTTGTATCCTTTACCTTTTAATTCGAAAAGATTCAATTAGTAATCTGAATGACTAGGGACTGGTAAAAATTTACGACAACGTCCAACGTCAATGCTGTTTGTCAGTACCTTTTATCTCAAACAACATACCTCTTAACTATTGTACTCATACTAGAAGAAACAAATACATTTGCAAAAGCTTTAACTCAAGTTCCTCTCTTCACCGTACTTAAGAGACTTTTATCTTGCGTCACGTCTAATTTAAAGTTCTTTCTCTATATTCTCTGCGACTTAAATAAGTCATAAATTAATTTAGTTTTTAAGCCTCTTTATAATATTCTTTTTAATTATGTAAACAAAAAATAAAGCTATATTCAGGCCTTTAGGGAATTTCTGCTCACCATTAACGATTTTCATCTGTCTAAATATGTTTAAAAATTAGACTACTAATAAAACTTTTATATTCTTATTTAAACAAGCGTTTCAATACAATGTACAAGTATCCTTAGGTTAAGAGGTAACTTACATATCTGGCTTGCAATTTCTTTCATTAATCGTTCCCTAGCAAAAATTTTATTCAACAGTATATTGCGATGCCGATATTTTTTTGCCTTTTATCCTTATTTTTTACATTTTCCAATTTCTAGGCACTATTTATAGATAATAAATCACTTTACGGTTTGCATAAATTATGCGTTTCTTTTTATGTAGCCTATATAAAATTGTACATCACTCTTAATTCTCCGAATGAAAGTTGTCAAGGTTAGAAAAGTCAATGAAGAAAAATCTTTCTCTTCCATCCGCAAATAAATTAGATGCAATTCTAGCTATGTATACACGTGAAAAGATAAAATACATCCCGTATATTGGTTTACATGTTTTATATGCTTTGTATATTTAATATTATTAGCATACTTTCTCTCCTTTCCGCAGTTGATATAGACCCCTTCGCAAGATATATAGTATTATGTTAACTAATTGCCATGCTCTTTTACTCTATTTTATATACACACTCCAGCGTTATTATTCTACTCTTTAGACGTACATTCAGATGTACAATACACACCGTAAGACATGTTTGTATTATGATTATTATAATTTGGCGTATTAAAGATAACATTAAATAAACCGACAAGAAAACAATTTGTAAATGTGCCTATATTTCTCAGATATTAATAGCATAAAGTTCTTTGTGATATATTACTAAACATAAATACTGTATGTAAATTCAACTATGAATAAGAAATATCATTTTCAATCATTATTATTTTAAAAACTGAATCGGTATCTTTTATTGTCAATTTTTGAAAAAGCTTTGTTTTTAAAAGAATGTCAAAGAAATTTATTATTATTACATTTGATGGAAGATAAAGTATTGGAAATAATTAACCAAGACGATATAGTATTTCTTTTCATGTATGGTTTATACTAATGTAAATTAATAACACAATGTAAAAAGACGTCAATATATCTGTAACTCTTTGTACACTGTAAATACTGTGCATATTCTAATTGATTTGATTTTTGAGCTCTTACTCTGAAAAAATAACCAGAATTCTTAAGGAAACCAAGAGGATTAACGTCACTCCAGCACGAATAGGTTAAAAGTCAACAACCAAGAATGCTTTTATTAGACTTTACTACCTACTTCTCTATAAAGAGTTAGGTTATAATCAGCTCTTTTAAAAGTATTAATATATACGCATATATAAAATTGTATGCGAAATAGAATAGAAGAGGTAATAAGTTATTCAAGATAAAGATTTAGTTAAAGATTTGTGAGTTTAACACAAATATTATTGATTTTACGATAAAGTATATATGTTTTCTTTAAAATGCATGGAATCAATAGATTAACTGTCAATGAAAGTGCGTTCTATACTGTACAGTATGAATTTATCCTTAGAATATCAGTAAAAACAATTTTGACCATCATAACAAAAGTTAATCTTCGTTCTATATTTGTTATACGGTATATACGTAAACCTCATATTAAGTAAATACTGTATATGAATAGTTTGTATATATTAGATGATTCCATCATAGCAAATAATAAATATATTAAAATTCTATACTACTGGGATATTCTTTCCTGTCTAAGGAAACAAAATTTTAGTTCTGCTGATGAACAAAAAAATAGTATTTCTTATCAATTAAACATTTCACCCTATTTATCAAATGATATATATATTAGTATATATGCATATATATATATCACTTGAATATCATTTCATCTGTAATTGTTTTAATTATATATCTTTTTTTGATTGAATATTGAATATAATATTATATGAAATACTTAAAGATGAAATTATTTAACCTTTTCATAATAAAAAATAATTATCTATCTTTAACGAGTGAACTAAGGAGACCTATTCATATTAATTCATTTTGCTATTTAATTTCTTGGATCTAAACGGAGTACAGAATATATGTTTAATTATTTATAAGATATGTCGTTTAACAGTACACTCTATCTTTTTTAAAGACGTTCATAGGAGAGACAGTCAAAAGTAAAAAGCCAATAATCACTTCTTTTGGATAAAGAATATAACTCAAAGCAGCATGCTTCACTTTGACAATTATTGGTGGATGAAACATCTTGAATCTACATGAATCATACTTCTAAGCAATGAGTCAGCATTGGATAAAAGTAAAAGTATAGCTGGAAGCGTGTGCAGTTTCGTAAACAACACTAAGAAGAGCATGTTGCATATATGTCTAATATATTATAATCTAAAATATATACAGTATATATATACTGCATATATGACATACTTGTAGCATCTTTTTGGTTATTTCTAAAAATTAATTGGCGTCTTATTCATTGATTTTTTAGGCCTAATAACAACAAAAAAGAAGAATCTTTTCCTCCTTTTGATTCTTTTATTATATTAATTACGCTTGTTTGAATCAAGTCTTCTTAAAAGGAAAATTTAAAAAAAATGTACTTCAATTAGAGTATGGATATTCTACTAGTCAAATTAAGAATAAAATTCTAAGCTTTATTGCTGGTGTTATAGCAGATTCCACACAAAAGATCGCCTTACTTATCATTTTGTAGTTTCATCATTATTTAATGAGAGGAGACGAGTATGAGTTGACGAATTCATGAAATAAGAGGCCATATCTTTTCTAAAAAAGCTACTATACAACCTTAGAAGTAAACTGTATCATTTA